ATTCGTTTTTATTTCGTTATTTTAGTTTCAGTGAAAAATCAACACAATCTTTTATTTTAACTTCGAAAACTATCGATGTTTACGCCGTAGTATTTCTATTTTATAATTGAAACAATAAACTGCATAAATATTAGCATACTAGCTGTCGCCCGCATGACGGAGCCATGAAATTAAAAAAAAATCTTAATTAGTTTGTCAATGCTAAATTTCATCGAGATCCATTCAGCCGGTCTGGAGATACCTTCTAACAATCATCCATCAAAACATTCGCATTTATAATATTAGTAAGATTAAACATCTTGCAAAAGGAAGTTTGTCGTACAACTCGTTACAAGGCGTAGGCTTTATATGGATAAATTAAAAGCGATAGCAAATTCTACATGTTACGGTTCGAAGTATTTGAAATGTAGAAACACAAGCTAGTGGTGGGAATATCATTCAAATGCCCCACATTCTTGATAAAACTCGTTGTAACGGAAATGTGAGTCAACCGACAACCGATACATTAAACTACATATTTTTTCCATCGCCTATAAAATTGCGAAATGTAATGTTCGGTATAATTACTATTGCTCATTTATTTTATCTATTTTGGGTACAACACTACATCACTAGGATTCAAAAAAAATTGAATCTTAATTTTTTGATCATTTTAACTAAATGAATCTTTATTTACAAATCTAATTTAATAATCAAGATAAGTAATTTTTGGAACGCTACATAGAACCACAACATTTTTCTGGTTTTTAAAATCCCTATTAAAATGCCCTCATAATTAAATTAAAAGAAGTAAGACGTAGAAAAATAAAACAAAATTATTTTTCAAGACCACACGTTTACTTCTTTTTCCGATCCGAACATCTTTGTCCTTGTAACTACAGTCAAAAGTAATACAACAATGGGTCTATAATAACACATTTGTTTAAAACTAGGGCTCAAATGCATAACTCGGAACAATCTCCCATAACCGACGGCCTCAACCTGCCTACTGTTAGTCAGAAATCAGATTGTTTCCCAGTAATAATGAATAATGCCTTCAACGAGAACAGATACTTTGCGTGTGATTCATGCGCTTTCTATTTAACGTTACTATAGACAATTTTTTAAACATATCCTTGATACCTTTAAATTATTCAAACTTTCGTGAGACATTATAATAAACTGATAAAAAAACGGCTAAACACTCACGTATATTCGTCCGGTAGCGGCACCGACTAATTTCGAGCCCATCGGGGGTTGGCTAGTTACCAGTCCCGCTCACCCTGATGAAGGGCCTCCGATGGGCTCGAAACTAGTCGGTACCGAAACCGGACGAATATACGTGAGTGCTTAGCCGTTTTTATATCAGTTTGATTTCAGTTTGATACCGTTTCAATTCTGTACAAGATGCACATTTATACAAACTTCAATATTAAAAATCCGTCAAATTAAATCACGAACACCTACCAGATTCCTCGCCTATATCTGGCTTTTGTTGAAACACTAGTTTAAACACACGTTATTCCTCTCATTAAAAAAAACAAATAGTTTGTAGATTAGACATAGCGAGGAAGAATACGAATCTTATGGTCAATCTCTTTCAATAACAGTTGCAATGGATCAGACTTACAAATATACATAACATACCTTTGTAGTTTTGGACATTATTCATTAGAATCCTTTGGCGCGAATGGCGCGCTTTCATGACCAAGTCAAGTGTCAGAATGATTAGTGAGGGGACATAGAAGTCGACATTTTAGTAAGGCTACTGTTGTGCCAGTACACCGGCACAGTGTTGGATTTTCTTCCTATCAGTAGGTATTTCCGATAACGGTCTGAAATGCTAGTCCAACTGTTAAAAACTACTTGAACAAGTAGAAGAATTATTATCGCTTACCGCCAGGAATAAAAGTATCAAAATAAGAAAAAGTCGTATATTTATGACCCACAATATTATGCCATTACTAAAGGAATATCTACAAAGAAAGAAAGACCGTGAGAAGAAGATACCCAACGCTCGTGTGGATGCAGCGAGGCGTGCCCAAAAGACGACGCTCTAATTGGTCGTAATTATATCGAAAGAAAAATCTCCATCCAAATTGAATACTAATTTCTATCATTAATTACTGCTCCACCCTCTTTCGAATTAGACTCGAGTGTTAGAAATTATTTAAAAACTTCCAATTTTCTTTTAATCACTTGTTAACAATGATGTCTTCATTAAATTTCGTCGTTGGACATCTAATTATTAAATATCAAGTGTCGAGGCCTCTTATAAAAAATATTTATTTAATTGAACGAGCAAGTTGGCTTTTGCATGAAACAAGGCCATGTTTCTATATTAACATCGTATATCTTTGTAATGACAAAATCATTATATGTTGTTAAAATAACTAAATAATCATTATAACTTCTTTACTTATAACAAACCTATTGTATACAGAATGAATGTTTCTTAACTTGGCTATACAGGTTATTTAACTGTTGTTTTGGATTGTAACATTACATTTTAATTTTATTTTCAATAATGTTAATTGAGTATTATTTATTGATTAATTATTTACGCAGTTAAAGTGTGATGTCTATATTTCAGACGATCGCAGACAACGAGCTGTCAAGTTCGAGCTATAGTCGAGGTCTTTTGCATCACAACGGTAAGTTCAGATAAAATGGGAGATGAAAATTTTTATTAAAAACAAAGAGAAATAAGCAATATATAAATGAACGTATATCATGCACAATTTCCCCATTTTATAACCAAATAGTTTGAAATGAACTTAGCTTCGATCTGTGTCGAGAAAAAAAAATGGCGCTAAAATATTTTTGGGTCATATCTGACTCATATGCTTTGGATGCGTAATCAACTTAAAAAATCACCGTTAGTTTTGTTTGCAGTAAATGTGATAATGAAAATTAACTAACTGATGCAGATTCATAAAAAACACAAATCGATCCCTTAGCTATCACTCAACGAGTCTGAGTACGACATTAATCAAACATAATTATTTTTATTACATCATTGTATAATTACCACTTTTCTTTTTAAAGACTACGGTGTCCATGATTACGAAGACAGTCCACACCAGATCTATGAATACCACATTCAAGGCACCAACGGTCACCATGGGTTTCATCATCCAGGCCCCATCCACGGGCACGAAGATCACGGAAATTATCACCCAGATTACTATAATCATCACCCACGTGATCATCACCATATTGAACATCATTATAAACATCACGATCATGTAAGCATAATTTAAAATTAATTTTAGACTATTTTCCTAAAAGCCAGCAACAATAGCTCTTAGTCAAATGGTGTTAACTGGCTTAGCTAGACCTCTTTTTCCAAGAAATGAATGCCTTAAATATATATAAGTAAAATATAGTATAATATATGTATAATTTTGAGGTTTATGTTTTTAGACTTTTCTCCTGTCAGAATGTTACATCTTAAGTTTAGTATTTGCAAATGACGTAAGAAATACTTATTAGCTCTTTCCTTTAACAACTGTATTACCACACCTTGCCCAACAACCGCAATTCTCACGCACAAGCGCAGCAAAATAAGTACTACGTGTATTATTTTCCGTAGTTGTACTGAGAACTTTTTCATCGCTGAATTAAATTTAAAGAAAATGTTGTTGTACTGTTAATATATCATTCAGGCAATGTAAATGATAAATAACTTTTGCCAACCAAAAAATAATTAAGTTTCCGTATTTTCTAGGATTTGGCAGCAAAAACATTGTTATGGCCAATAGCGGGGATTGCACTTCTTGGGGCAGCAGCGGCGCTGGTCACCAACCCAGTTCTACTCCAACTGGGTGTTGTATCTGGTCGAAAGAAACGCGACACTGAAGAAATAACCGGACCAGATGTAGACGTCAATGAATGGACAACAAAAACACATGAGGCTCTAAATACAGAAGACAAAAACAATGAACAACTTCACTTGAGTAAATTACCAATATTCAATAGAATTAAGAAAAAATATAGCAAAGAAAAATTTGAAAATATTACTCCAACGAAAATGACATCAACGAACCCAGCCGACTTAAGTTTTAAAAGTAAATTAAAGGATATTAAATATATTGCAATACCGCTTAAAAAACCTAAAATGTAAAATTTTATAAAAGAATTTTTTTAATTCAATTTTATATTTTATGCTAAGAGTGTTAAATATAGATATATTTTTATAACAATCTCAAGGTATAATATTGTTTATTTTAAACTACCGGTCTTATATCTCATTTAAGTTACAACTAAGCAATTGCATATAAGGGTAGGTATTTACAATTAAACTTACCATAGATTTTTTGAACTCTGTGTAAAAGTCTCCTTTGCCACTAAATTCACTTAAAATCATAACCAAAATTTCACTTAAAACTTCATCACATTGACATCTCCACTTACTGATCACAACACGCAACAAATCAAACTGAACGACACAACACGTGTTTATTTCGTTTTAAACAAACAATTGAATGCTTGATATTGACAAAACAAACCGTAAACCACGAATTGTTTTGTACGATACGTCACCAAAGAGGACATTCGACGATCGAACGGCTGTTTACAAAAGGAGTGAAGTTGGAACGAAGAAACATTGCCGTACGGCCGGCCGAGGCGGCTTTGAATTGAATGAAGTTGGTTAATGGTTACCTATTGACCTTTCCATGTGTGCGTAAACTCTTGCGCCGGAGCAGGGGTGTTTAAAAACTTGCTCCGATACTGTCTTAGTGTGCGTGACCGTGTCAGTGATCTTTTTGTTATTATGCATATGTGCACCGAATTCTATAGTTGTGATAAACTATTTGTTTTCGTTTTGTTCCCATTTTGTTTACATTCAAAAAGGTTAAGTGTTACATGTAAAAAAATATATAATTTTTCAATTTTCTCCATATAAATTTTTTAGAAAAATGTTATTATATTGTTTTAATGACCTGTAATTGTAAATCAACATTGACTTCAGTTTTACAAAATCAAAATTGAACAAATCGCACTAAGTTTATTCATAATTATATTAAAAAAACAGTTGTGATTCAAACTATTGGATTACAGTGACATCTTTTGCCCCCATCTTACAACTATAAATTGACAGTTCCATACATTTTTATTTGAAAGGATTTAGTACACATACAAGAAATAGATGTCGCTAGATGTATTTCTTTATGAAAGTGCCTTTATTTTTCTAATAGCAAAAATCCATAATTGAACATTTTCTATTATGTTAGGAAAGGGCCATGTATTAAAATTTGACCTATTGAAACACATTTTACTCTGAAATAAGAAATATTACCTCGAACTGACTTGCTGTTATAAAGTTAATCGTTAAATGTTATTGAAAATAAAAGGAATGAAAAGGCAGTTTTTTAATTGTGCAACATAATAAGGAGCATCACTTTTTTGTTTTCGAGTCGTTCGGTTACATTTTGAATCCCAACTGAAATAAAATTAACATGTGTTTTATGAATTTTTATACGTTAAAGGTCAGAAAATAAATTATAATAATTAAACCTTAGTACAAAAATTTCAGAGCGAGTATTGGCGAAAAATAGTTATATTTAGATGAAGAGAGTCATTGTACAATTACCTTTTGTCCATTTTCTGTAAAACATTTAAAGAAAAATGCCGCTCTGTCACACCCCTTGTCACCATCGGTTACTTCCATGTCATTAACTGGTAAAAGAAAATAAAGACAATTAAGTAATAAAATTACATTTGATTAAATTAAAAAAAATAGGTTTAAAGTAATATTTTTCTTAAAAGAAACATACAGATCTTTTATTTACTGTACATATACTTATGTTTGATGTAATATAAGAAAATTTGTAATTTTTTTCTCTGAATAAAATGAAAGAATTATAAAGTAACTTCATACCAATACTGCACATCTCAGCCAATTTTCGACCATTTATTAATCTTTGTTCATCGCCGTTTTTAGTTAATTCTGCCACCTTATAACCTTCATCAAGAACGTACATTCCTTTGTCATTGAACTAAAATTAATTAAAAAATACATTTTAAGAAACTCTTTGCGTATACAAAATCACTGGCTTGTAAGAGATATAAATTTTAATTTTAAAATTATAATATAAATATTTCTTTTTTTTTACTTAGTATAACATAAACAAAAATACTAATTTTCTACAATTTATTGTGTTTTAATTAACTGTCTTATTTTAGTAAGCTATAATAATTATCAATTAATTTCAAGCATTACAACAGACTAAAATGAATAATAAAAATAACATTTGTAACAGAGGGTACTTTTTCTACACACTGACATTTCCGACAAGCGTGTACTTAGTTCGTCAAACATGTGCGTTAAAATGTACTTGACGCCAAAAATACCGTAAAATTGTCTTTATTTTAACGCGAAGTATTTATTTAATTACGTTAATGTGTCAATTTAGTGCAACTTTACTTTGATTTCATTCGAATTCGGCATAAAAAGGTATGTTGTACTTACAGTTTTAATTTTCCTATACGCACAAGCGAGTAGACATTTGGTCTGTTGTTTTTTAGGCATTTTAAGGGCCTGTAGTTGAAGCAATTCCATTAAGTCGACGGGAAACTCTTTTGTACATTGCAATACTACTTTAGTGAATTCAGCTTTTGCCTCAGCGTCACTCAAACCCTTAAAAAATAATTCTATTTATTTGACGTTTAAGATTGTTCCGTGTGGAAAGAGTTGATCACTAACCGTAGGTTTCTGAGACGAAAATCTTTATATGAACCATATTGTCATACTTGTCATTATCTTTACAAAATATCAATATATTTTTTACGGGGCTTTTGGTCTCAGAAACTTAAGGTAAGTTAAATATTTGCAAAAAAAAATCTTTAACAATATTTTGCATTAAGACTGGCATTTTTATATTACGTAATTTTATCGCGTCATAAATAGTAAAAAATTCATTATGATAATAAAGTTATATACTGTACTTACATTAACAAAATTACAAAAGCACAGAATAACTATACAAAATAAATTTGAATTTATCATTTTTATTTAAGTTTTAACGCTTAGAAAAAATATTTGCGGCTTTTCTTATCTCGAATTATATAAAATGCTCGGAATCGAATATTAGATTTAATTTAATAAAGTCACAACTAGCACGGTCTGTCAAACATTGTTAAATAACTTTGTCGTAGTAAATATCGATGATATTAATAATTTCTACACGTTCCTGTGTGCGTTACATTTGTATAACATAATTGCATTTATTTAACGATATTAATATATCAAATAAAATGGTTGCAATTGCACACAACAATACCCGTGTATTTTATAGGTTACGCACTGTTTCATACGCTAATAGGCAAATAAAAACAAATTATCGTTTAATTTTTAAATTTAACTTAATATTATAAATGCGAATGTATACATGAATGAATGTTTGTTATTGCGTATATTTCTGGAACACATAGGGTTAGTTGCATCAACTAACTATAACTTTAACCAGCGACTTGACATCAGTTAAATCTACGGTTGCGCAAAAATTCGTTGCTCCATTTTAACAATCGTCAAATTAACGTCATATTGGTGCAACGATCGGTTGTCAATGTTGACATTTCTGTTAAAGTTACAGTTATAATAGACCATAGCGAATACTGTAATCGATGATTTAAAGCAACTCACCTTTAAACGTGTCACGCTGAAATTAGGATATACATAAAATATGGAATGATGTCTCGAAGAACGCATACAAATATTCTTTTATTTTGTGCGGACGGAGTCGCGGGAAAATCTTATTAAAAATATAGTAGAAATAATCTTACTTGAGCCATGTAATATTTTGATTATAATCGTAAAGAAATGTAATTATAATTTACATTTTATTTTTTTTTCCGCAAAAACGCGCTGCACCTGATGTCACTTAAATCCTGTTACGGTACTTCTTACATTAAAATAAAACAATATTATATTATTTACGTTTAATATATTTCTTTTTAAAATAGCACATATAGTTTACTTTTACAATAATTTTGCTTATTAAACTACGTCTGCTGTCTTCGTTTCTTGTGTCAAAGATTTATATCGAACTGAAAAAAAAAAGTTTTTTTTTTTTATCTCACGTTTTTTTTATTCTTTGTCTATATTAGCTGTCGCTTTTGATTTCATCAGGAGGATGAATTTTCGGAAAATCCGAAATAGACTTGTCTATATTGATTTTTTTGCTCAAGGTAAATATGCAAACGGCGTACAAAGTATCACCTGCATATTTTTAAACATAAGACGATCAACTTTTACGATACAATTTATAGGATATTCCATTGAAGTAAAGTTTCTCGATACAAACCTCATCGGCTTTATCAATACTACAGCGGAACATTAATGCAGCTCTATCACAGCCTTTGGTTCCGTCGCTGACTTCTGCGTCATTTACTAGAATTATAAAAATGTATTTATTTAAAACATTATAATTGAAACATGAAAAATCATTGAAAATTATAATTGAAATGGTTCATATTGTCTTCAATTTCAGTTATTAAAAAAAACAAACTAAGAAATACATTTTGTACAAGTGTCTTGAAAATTTATTACAGTTATAGATGTGGTTTATCTTACTAATATTAAAAATGCGAAAGTTTGGATGTTTGCATGGATGTTTCTTAGAAGGTATCTGCCGAACGGATTAACGGATTTCGTTGAAATTTGTCATAAATGTAGAACATAGTCTTTTTATGGTTCCGTACCGCGAAAGGAAAAAAACGGAACCCTTATATGATCGGTTTGTTGTCTGTCCGTCGACCCTTTTTCTCAGGAACGCGTAAGGGTATCAAGCTGGAATTTATTTAATTCCGCGCAGACGGTGAAAGCTAGTTTTAAATAAATGATTGTTACCAGTACTGCATGCGTTAGTAAAGTCGATCGCTTTCTTCATAGTGTCGGGATCGTCAGCTAAATATTTGTTTATAACTTCTAGAGCACCTTCCACGGACATTTTACCTTCGTCATCCATCTGAGAAAATTTATATTACTCAGTTATTATGATCTCTTAGACTTTATCTTTACCGATCTTTACCTAAATATCCCATTAACAGTATTTTTTTTCAAATCTATACATCTATACCTAATCGTAATAAGATTATAAAATTGGAGTATGTATATAATATCGAAAAAAACTATATTTCGTTTACAATGTATTTGCGTAGATGCCAACGAGAAACTATTTTTTTTTAATTTTTGTCTGTCTGTCTCTATGCCTATCTTTGCAAATAGACTATGTTTGTTTCGGGTAATAACCGGACGTGCTGGACTGATTTTGACGGGACTTGGGAAGGTAGCTGATTCACGCGGGAATATTATAGGCTACTTTTTATTCTTTGTAGACGAAGTCACAGAGGATTAATTCCCTGTTGTTTGAGAAATGAGAGGTTTTTAGGTTAAGTTACCTCCCATAAAAATTAAACTTTTCCATTGGAAACGGTACCTTGCAACAATAATTTAGTAGCAAACTTGTTACAATGTGTCAAAAATATACAAATACATTTTATGTAGGTAAACCAAAATATGTTTCCTGTTTTCAAGACAAATTGTTTTGTGATAGTTGTCAGAACTACAGACCGTGTAATTGTTAGTCTCATCAAAACTGACCTTGCGCTTAGTATGTCTATTATGTTGTAACTATTTTCTAATCTATTTCAGAAATCTATGTTTTAAATTACAATTATGCGATGTTAAAATTTTTAAAAATATGTTTTATGTTTGCTCATACGTACATATACATACTATAAATTATTCTAACGTGAAAGAGAGTGTTGGAAATGGAATTCAGTTAAATATTTTTAATACTAATAAATTACTAGTAATAAACGGAAGTAGAGAAATAAAAATGGACGTGATTATTCGGAGTTTCCGAAGTCAATTGACTTACGTAATTTTTGCTTAAAGCTAATAACGAAACGTTATTACAATTTGTAAAATTCTTTAGTGTTGTATCATTTTTCAAGTGGTGTCAACAAAATGATTTAAATAGTGACCGCATTTTTAATCAGAGAACGATGACGTCACGGTATTTCAGGTAAGTTTCATATAATTTTAACTTAGTAGAGTACTTTTGTGTGTTTTTGCATATATCATGTAGTTATTGGCTAGTTTATAATCTGACTGGGATAACAACATAAACAAATCGTTGAGAATTTGATAAGAATTTTATGGATGAAAAATTTGCATTTTTTTTACCATTCCAGCCTTCTTGTACGCGCAAGCGAAGAGGCGTTTCACAGATTCTTTGTCAGGTAATTGCTTGTTCTGTAATTGAGCGATGTCTTCTGTAGTTATTGGAAATTCCTTCGCGCATCCTATTACTAAATCTGCGTAACTCTTTTGTAAATCCCCTAATGAATTGCCCTGAAAAACAAAAGACAACTTACACAGGTCATATACAGAAACGTTACAATGAAGTGTCGAAAAATGCATCCGAAAAAAGAAAGCACAGAGAACAAGTTTAAAAGAAAATAATTCGTTCTTTAACTTTAACAATAGTATAAATAATTTAATTTTTAACCGAATCCATTCATGATTATTTTTGTGCTATTTGAAATTCAAAACATACCACAACAATTGTCACAATCATCGACGAGTATAAAACTTGAAATAGGAAAAACGCCATGACTACACTGATCAACACTGACCCAAGTGAGAAAGTGTGAAACAATTATCTCAATATATAGCAGCATTCATCATTATGTGTCAACGCCTATAATTTATACAATATTATCTTTTATATAAATCTGAAATACAATGACTACAAAAGTTATTTATTCTTTTTGATAACATCGATAATGACATTTCAATATTGAAACGTTTGTCATAATTTTAATGCAATAAAAAAAATTCTCAAGTTGTCAGCAATTTATGTTTAGTGTAATATAAAGTAAACCTTATCACTTTATTTAGAGAAATATTTTAATACACATACAGCGTGTATCACTTTTTGAAAAAAAAAAAAATTCTTACATACATACAAATTTTAAATTGCAACACGTAGAGTAAAAATAAGGTTCTCATGATTTTTTTAGATATGACCAAAAAAACAACCTATTAATTTTATCCAATTAAATCCAATGTCGGTTCCCAAATCTACTATTTAATCAAATATGATGACTGATCGAATTTTTCATTCTTCCATTATTGTCACGTGTATAAAACAGCGTACTTTAGAATTTTCGACATCTTTCTATCACAGTAGGTTAACGTGTCTTGTTATCAGTGATAAATTACATTACTTATAATGTATAAAAATCTCTACATATACTTCTGCTTAATTGTTATAATACCTTTTAAATCACATGTAAGTTTTATCAAATTAATTATTTATTATCATCCCGCATATTTTTAAAACATCCTGTGGTAGCTTTACTTCTTTGTTCTATTTGCCTCTATTCTCGTCTTAACTATTAAGAAATCTATAACTGGTATCTATTTTTCATTTAATACCTAATGTATTATTTTAAAAGGAAAAAAGTATATATTGATACTATATAAAGGAGAAATATAGTCAAGTTCAATATTTCTATCATTACTAAGTAATACTAATGTACTAAAATTTAGGTGAATAATTATTTTATATTTCAGGCAATGACAGCGGAACAAAAAGCCTCAATTCATGAGCATTTCGAAGAATTGGGAATAGAATGTATGAAGGATTATCCCATTAACGAAGAAGATGTTAATAATTTAAGATCGAAGAAAATCGGAAACGGTGAAAATGTACCTTGTTTCTTATCGTGTTTATTGAAAAAAGTTGGAGTTGTAAGTATATTTACATATATCTAAAAGAAATATATACTATTTATTAAGTTTACGCTGTAATAACGTAGAACAAACATGTTGTTATCTATAATAGTTAAAAAAAATAAAGACACGGGAAACATGTTTTAGTGCGACCACACGGTTTCAGTTGTAACTCGATTTTACGCCCGGATACCTACCTAAATATTCTATGTTAATTTCTTCGCAAATACTATATTTATTATATAATTTATAAAAAAAATCTACTTATTCGATTACATTTAAAGAATATAGTTTTTTAATAAGCATTATTTTTAAAGAAATGATTATATCATAAACTTTCCTTTAACTTTCAGATGGACGACAAAGGCATGCTGCAAAAGGAAACGGCTCTTGAATACGCCAAAAAAGTTTTTAATGACGCTGAAGAGTTGAAACATATTGAGGATTACCTGCATTCGTGCTCGCATAGTAAGGAACAGAAACTTGCTTTTACAAAAACATAAGGAAAGGTTAAAAACCTAAACATTTTCTTTTAATTTTGATAATATTCTCATATTTCAGTCAACGAAGAAACTGTTAGTGATGGAGAAAAGGGTTGTGACAGAGCATTACTGGCTTTCAATTGTATGTTAGAAAATGCATCTCAGGTAATATCCTACGAACATTCTTAGTTAATAAAAGTTACATATTACAGTTGAAAACTTAAATATCATAATGATATAAACCCTTCGTAAACAAGGCAACGTAAATAATCGAAACCTAGCGATTGTAGTCGCAGGCATTCAGGTACCCGTCGCCGATATTTGGTAAAAATTGTCGTGACAAAAGCCGCTATGATTTTCAAGATGGTAGAGCAAATCTATAAAGTTGACATGTAGTCGCTTTGCCCATACCAACGTATAGACGACTCGTGTCGATGATTCTATGTGTCCATAGAATCATAAAAAAATGGACCAATGGGAATTAGACCTATCGGTCGGAGGATCCATAGATCATTAAGTCGGCACTTTAGTCGACTCAATGGCAAATGCATCCTAAATTTCCCATTGAGCCGACGGAAACTAAAGAGTCGAATAAAATCTCATTGGTCCGATTGATTCTATGGTTTTAATTGTCCCAATGGGAAAAACATCTATTACACCTATTCAATTATTGTTCTTTTTTCAGTTTGGCTTTGACGTTTAAATGTGCGGCGACTCGACGATTAAGACGATCAAAATGAAGATGGACGATAGACTCGTATTTCATAGTTATATTATATCTTATAGCACTCTAATAAAAACTGTTAACACGATATATGTATTTTTTAATACTTTACGCTCCTATTACTATTCATCGCGTCCAAGGTTCTTAAGTTCATATAAATTAAAATAATATTGGAATGATTTTAAGGAACGCCGGGATGTGATATCGCAGTGACTTAACTGATTGATTGTGCTAAGGTACTAAACACACTTTTAACTGCGAGTCTCCACTGCTTAAAATCTGAACATAAAAATATTGCCATCCCTTTCATTATACCGGTAAAAATAGAGGCAACAATATGCTTTTGTAGAATCCTTTTACAGAACAGTACACTATTTTTTTACTTTAATCCAGTGCAAATGTTCGGGATCATGCACAAAATCTGTGTATTTTTTAATCGCCGTCTTAATTATTTTCATTTAATTAGCAGGATAAGACGTTTTGTCTCATTTGTTTTGCCATACATGTAATGCGTAGTAGTAATTATGCGTTGTAAATTTTAATAGAACTATAAAATGTAAATTTACCAAGAATTGTATTTTAAACACTAATTGCATCGTTCAATAGTAAATAATTATTTGTTTTATACACATATTTAATATAACGTTGTGTATATTAGGTACCCACATAGTGAGCGGGAGCGCGAGGGAGATCCCCTGGCGCCCCCGCTCAGACGTAGGAGAGTGGGGCGGAGAAGGCGGCAGTATATTGCCGCAAACCCCCCCCCCCCCACAATAGCCCTCTGGTGATGGACACGGGGGAGTCCATCACCGGCGACTGAGGGTTGCCTCATCCCCCCGAGAGGGAGCTGCCTCGGTAGCTGGCGCAGACGGGGCCGCGGACGAGAGCGAAAGCGTGCCCGTGGTCCCGATGCGTTGGAGTTTTTGATCTCACTCAGGAAAATTACACAGAACTTTTCTAATAATTTTACTTTTATACAAGAAAGTAGTTAACTAAAAATTCATTTATATTTTTCTAATGCTTTTATTATAATAATTACAACAAAATAAATAATACAAAATCCATTATAGTCAGCGGCCAATGTAACTTCATCGGGCTATTATTTGTTCTTTAACGTCCTCATTTGGAGAAATCGAACTAAAATAGAAGAAAATATATAAATTAATTAAGTTAAAGTATGTCGTTCCTATATAGGGGCGCTAACTTACCCTAAGTAAATTAAATTAAAGAAAATTATACGTTTTAAAACGCAAGTAATAGAAATATATATCTGAAAAACGATTAATATTTTTGTCAAATACGTGTTTAATTAATAGTTCTTAATTCGATGTATATCTTAAAAAACTAAACATTTAGCGGGAGCTTAATAAATTTTGGTAAATCAATTCATTTGATCCAAAGACGTCGTGATCTATTCTCACTGTGCGACGTATTATCATTTACTTATGGTCATAAGATATACCAAAAAATTACCTGATCTTTGTATGGCTCCATACATTTATGCAAAAGGACAGCTCGGTCGCAGCCTTTGTCGTCACTGACTGCTTCATCGTTCACTGAAACATTTTAAACAACGGATTAAAAAACCGGTAATTTAAATAATTCAAAATATTCCCATTCTCGCCGATTTAAAACAATCTTTTCGATTTATGTAAATGGAAAAAAACACAACTAATATTACATTTGTAACAATCGAAATATGAAGATTTATTGAAGAGGATTTTAAAACTACATATGTTTAAAGGAAAAAACTTTTTACTGCTGTAGAATATATATAAATCGCTTAAAATTAGCATCGTAGTTACCTGAAGAGCATTTTTCAATAATTTCTAAAATCTGTTTCTGCTCGTCTTTATCAGTAACAAACTTCTTGACCGTCTCAGAAGACTTTTCGACGTCAAATTCTCCTTTATCGTTGATCTGAAACACAAATTGTACCAATAGATTACTATAGAACTTCATTTCTATAGAAAAAAAATAGTTAAAAAATTGGCCCATGAGGGGATCGAACCCGCGACCTTCGCGTTATTAGCACGACGCTCTAACCAACTGAGCTAATGGGCCTGTCTGTAAACGTTCTAAAATAAAAAAAGAAACAGTAAAAAAAAACAAAATACTATTAAATGAAGTAGAAAATACAGACTTATAATAATCAAACTTATTATAAAAATTATCAAATTTAAACTTACCATTCCCATTTTCTTTCCAATGCAAGCGAACAAACAGGGGTCCAGCGATTCTATTTTACCGGACTCCTTGGCTTTCTTGATATCTGCCTCGTCCACACCAAACTCCTTGCCGCACTCCGCTATCAATGGTCGGAGACCAGTTTTGATAGCCGCTATATCTTCTTGTGAGAGAGCCTGAAAAATTAAATATTTTCTTTAAAAAAAACTTCATTAGTTTTATATTCCACGTTTAGTTATCGTGACATGCTATTATAGCCCACAGGAATAGTTAAATTTGTTTTATTTGTAAATTTTAAGCTCGTTATTTTTCACAGCTATAAGGATATTTACGATAATCTTTTTAGAGGATTTTGCTTTAGGTCTTGTAGAGCCTTTTAATATCTTAATAAAAAAAAACAATGAATCATCGTTAAGCAACATTATCACCGTAAAATTTCATTTATTGCTCGCGACTTCGCCGACGTGGATTTTTTTTTATATCATATGGTGGCAAACGAGCGAGCGGCCACCTGAAATCACTGAAACAGCGAAGTGACCGTTGCCCATAATTAAAATATAACCTAAGGAATTCCCGCATACATCGGCTACCTTCCAGTAAAATTCCCATCAAAATCGGTCCAGCCGTTTTGGAGATTAACTAATCTAAATAAATCCAAAACTCACCCGGACATGTCTCAAGCTTACAGCAAGTCCAAGGAAAAGAAAAACACAATACAACTTCGACATTTTCCTTTGATAAAATTGCAAGTCAAGTTACTTGTTCCCAGCTCTGTACCACTCTGTCCTGTATTAGGAAAACACACATTTTATATACAAAGCCCGCTGAGCATTTTTTATATCAAAGGTTAATTGTCCATCCGACACATACAATGTTGTATCCTACATAAAAACGTGCGATTCCGAGATTTGACACTGAAATTTTTTTGTAGAATAAGACAATCAGAAGATCATACTTTTTTAATTTACTTTGAGCTTAGAGCTGCGTTAAATATAAGATTTTTAATAACTAAAGTTCCTACATTAATTTAAAAAAATTAAAAACAGTACCAAAAAACAAAATATCGACCAGTTTTTTTTCGGAAATCCTAATTCACTTAAAAAAGAATTGCTGATTCGTAATAATAGACTTGATCGGTAACTGGTTATCAAAATTGAAAACATATGACCTGATTAAATTAAAAGAAAATCTCTCTTTTCACCCGACTTACAAGAGAATATTAGCAGTTAATTTTTTTAATTTATTACTATTTTGAAACATAATTTTCGACGGATTTAACTCTATTCTCAAGAGAAGTCTGCTGTAGAAATTTAAACCGCATTTCATTAATATTATAACTGTAAAAACGTAAATAACTATGTCCTATGATATACATATTACTAGCTGTCGCCGGCGTCCCCGCGCGGAATCGAAAAAAGACTAAATAAGTAACCTATATCTTCTTCCAGACTATGTTATATATCAGTGTCGTTCTGGAGATACCTTTAAACAAACATCCATCCATCCATTTGTATTAGCAAGATATACTTTGTAGAGTAATAAAGGTCTAAATAACGCCCCTTCATGATATATACATTTAATAATATCAATTACTATACAATACGTGATATGTATGTATAAACATATATACATCAAAACCTTGATATAATTGTTGACCGACAGACTAGTCAGTTATTTTGTATAATTACCAACTCTGATTACATCGTATGTACTGGACGGAAACGTGACTCGACGAATGTTGCTTGCAAGATGAGTCTAAATAATAAAAAGAAGGACAAAATACGGACAAGATGGAAAGAACTTCTTTCGTTAAATAAAATGGTCCGAATTAGTATAAAATATATATAATTATGTAACTGGCAGCCAGTCTATCCTTTTTTCTCTTTTTTAGGGACTTTCGTGCTTTTGAACATGCCAGTCCCGTAACACTCTACATAGGAATTTATTACAAATAGAAGTATACAAACAAGCAACAAAACTATAATAAAAAATTCCTATTAATATTCACGATAAAATAGTATATTAATACTTCCAAAAAGCATTGGAAAAATCAAAGCAAAATAATTAATTTCTGAGACCAAAATGTCTGTGTAAAACACATCGTTATCTCGGTGATTATATTCGACAAAACAGAGATAAAAATATGTTTTAAACAGACATTTTGATCTCAGAAATTAATTATTTTGCTTTGATTGCTCAGAAACCATCGGTTAGTCCTAAAACGTATAGAGAGATGCACAATTTAACTTTTATAAGAACCTAGTCATTAAGCAATTCTAACAGACACGTTTAAGTAGAATTTTCCGCACATTTTTTCTTAATAACATTAATTGATTTACCGTCCGTTTCTTACAACAAAATCTATGTATAAAACATATCGTCGTCCCTGTCATTATCTTTGAGAAGACAGAGACAATACGTTTGAAACGATAATTTTGGTCTCAGAAACCCACGGCTAGCGGTGCAACAGTCAAGGTTAGCAATTCAAAAGTCGACAATTTTCAACCATTAAGTAATTCACGAAATAATGGAAATTACACTGGTTTTTCTGTAATATGTCATCGTCAGGTGTAAATAAAGTATATAAAATAAATAAAATTACAATATTTAATTCTCCTCTCGACTCCACAATGCGACAGTTAGGCAAATTGCTAGTCCTTTATTATTACGTAGACCTTTTATTCAAAATTCATTGACAGTTTGATGTAAGCTATTTTTATCTCTGTTTACAGTGCGTACAACAAGGATATGCCAGTATCCAAATTTGTATACCATAACTAGCTGTCACCCGCGACTCCATTACCGCTGAATTAAGAAAAAACTAAATTAGTAGCCTATGTGTTCTTTCAGAATATGCTCTACATCTATGCCAAATTGTATCGAAATCCGTCCAGCCGTTTTGAAGGTACCTTCTAACAAACGTCCATCCATCCAAACATTCGCATTTATAGTATTAGTAAGAAGTAAGATAAAAGGGTTCTTTGGAGAGAATTGTGAAGGTTAATGTGTACTAAATATAGATCTTTTTTGATAGGTCAAATGCTTGTTAATTGATACTTAAAATATATCATACTAGCTGTCGCCCGCGACTCCGTCCGCGAGTTTATATGAAAGAATAAATAGTATCTAGTATAGTACTCACCAATTTTCAGCCATATCGGTAAAATCGTTCTTGAGTGTAACTAACATGACTTTCTTTTATATATATATAAGATTATACTATGAGTTAAGGTTTAAGACTAAAGAAATGAAAAGATAAGTTCAAGTGCAACAATTTTATTTTTAAAGTTACGCAAAAATAAAATCTTTTGGATTATCATCATATAAGCATTTGGCGGTCCAATAAGATGCTTCACATATATCTGCATATTTCTTTGCTGTAAGTTAAATAATTAAGTTTATTGCTGTCCAAACAAAAAATCTTCATTAAGTTAAAGAGGTGTGTTTTCCCATGCAATAACTACAGCGTCTTATACAAAGTAAAAAACCTTTGCGTAAATTAAAGATTATAAAAATAAATGTACATTAATTACGAAGTATTTAACTTTTTTATTTGTTTTGTATAATTTTTCTATCTTTTTACCATAAAACCTCAATCACTGGCAGTTTGTTTAGCTGTTTGAAGTCAGATAAAAAAATAACTTACATATATCTTTACAGTTTTCAATGGAGACCTTAACTGAGGCCTTAAGTTCAGGTGGGTACATCAAATCCACTTGCTTTAATGAAGCCTCGTAGCTTAATTTATTATTTTTTACCTAAAAATGTAGTCAAGTATCTTTGTTACATTAAGACTTCCTGAACACTAAACGATTAGACCGATTTGGAAATGTAAAATGTCTTAAGATTCGTATTATTTCTTGGGTTTACATAAGCTAATTATAACATAACATGGGTTATTTAGACGGGATTCATAAAATAATTAATAAATATAATAAATCAACTTACAATTTGCGTCATTTGATAAATGCAAGCTATGTAACACATCACGTTCCTTTGTTCAATAAACTTTCCTTTCTCTATGTCGCCAATTAAATCTATATATATAAAAGAAAGTCGTGTTAGTTACACTATTTATAACTCAAGAACGGCTTTACTGATATGGCTCAAAATTGGTGAGGAGGTAGCTTAGAGCCAGGAGACGGACATAGGATACTATTTATTCTTTTTTTTTTTAATTTTAGCTGCTTTTCATTTAAATTACTAATATTATAAATGCGAATGTTTAGATGGATGTGATGTGGATGAATGGATGGGTGGGCTACACTAATTAAGTTTTTTATATATCCACGCTGACGGAGTCGCGGGCGACAGCTAGTCTGAAAATATAATATTTTATCTGGACATCAATAGTAGCTAAAACTATATATTAATTACCTTCTGTGACGTCATTCTTTGCCATGCAAGTTTTCTTCAACATCTTTGCCGAATTCTTTAACTGCTGTCTGGTCATCTAAAAGAAAATAAAATTAAGAAAAAAAAAGTTTTTTTATATCATAACTTCCTTAAATTACACTCGTCTGGGAAGAATAAGTAATAAAAAATATAACTTTTAAAGTAATGCATTAAAAAAAATGTTTTTTTTTTAATTGAAAAATGCAAGTTTTTCGAATCAATAAAAAAGTATTGACGCAATAAGACACATATTAATAACATTCTAACATAAATAAGGCAATTAATATAACTCAGAATATCAAAACTTACTGTGTGTACTCCACATGTTAAAATAGATATAAGAATTAATAAAAATATTCGATAACCCATCACAATAAATCCTTTCTTTGAAGAAAAACTAAGACTGGTCTCGTACTGTCATTTCTTGGTAATTTAAAGACTATTTGATCAGTGTAAGATGACTTAGTAATAAAGTAATAGTATATCAAAGTACTAGTTAAAACAAACACGATTAACGCCTGTGGTACAGTTTAATTGATAGTTTGAAAATATATTTCAATTCGAATGTGTAGATCCATGGACTACCGTAACTACTACCAACTACCTAATCTTAATGAATAAATACCAAAGCTTGGATAAATGTACGTGAGTTACATGGTATCTTCGGAATGGCTCAACGAATCTTGATGAAATTTCGCACAGATGTAGAAAATAGCCTGTAAGACACACACCACACATACACACACACACATAGGTTATTCATTAATTTTTTTAAATGTCCAGTAACCAGTCTTCGCGCAAACGGAGACGCGGGCGAAAACTAGTAGTGTAATAATTAAATCTTAATTTATAATCCCTCCAATAATAAGCATACTTTTTAAACATACAGGGTGTCCCAAATTCCTTTTTGCATCGTCTAAATTTCCAAATAAATAAACAATTGTCTTCAAAACACAAGATTTATTTTTAATTGTTGTTTATGGAAAGAAGAAATTTTCGGTATCAGCTTCATATATGCACTTCGCAGTCCAATAAGATGCTTCACAAATGTCTTTGTAGTTCTTAGCTGAAACAGTTAATTACATTACAACTTTAATAAAAAGACCACAGATAAAAAATATCAGCTTGTATCCAGATTAAGGTACATTTACTCTAAAATCTAACTATGTATGTACTTGCATACAATTAAGTAAGGTATATAAATTAAATCTAACGTACCAACTCCCTTGCACTTTTCTATAGCTGCCTTGTACGGTTCTTTCATCTCGGGCGGGAACATCATGTCAACTTGCTTTATCATAGCGTCGAAAACTATCTTATTGTTCTTCACCTGCGTCATAGACATATAATTGTTATGTATACCTAGGGTGTTTCCCATTGGACCCATCAATCCCAATCCATAGAATATTCAGACCAGTTTTTATTGGACTGATATTTGGTGGACTCAATCGGTGTAATGGGAAATCTGTAGGCCGAACGGTCCAACAGGAACCGCCTATATCTACTCGTAGTTTATTACAACTTATCCTCAGTTTCACTGTCGTAAAGGATACAAAAGATATTTTGTTATCACTGTAATTAAAAAGAGAATGTGAAGTTATTATGTTACGTTTTTACGTATCGTAGCTAAATCAACAACAATCAAGAACACCAGATAAAAACAAAGTTAACTTTAATCTTTAATAATGGTCTTTAAAATCGTCTAACTTTAATCTTTAATGATGGTCAATATATGTAAATGTAATAAATTTTCCAACAGTTATATTTAACTAGTTGTTGCCCGCTATTCCGTCCACGCGGAAATGAAAAAAAACATGATTAGTAGCCTGTGTCCTTCCATACTATGTTCTATATGTATGCCAAATTTCATCGAGATCTGTTCTGCCGTTCCGTTCAGCCTTCAAACATCCATCCATCTAAACATTCGCATTTATAATATTAGTAAGATGTAAGATTAGGTAATCTTTATTGTAACGACGACAATTATGTATATGTCCAAGAATTAAATGTCCTGGACCCTGACCCGTAGGTACGTATATATCGCAAATATCTTCCGATTTATCCTCAATAAAATATTTATTGCATCGTTAAAAGTGTTTATTGATCGAGCATATTTAAGTATAATTATTTTTAATTTTTATAATCAATAAAAAAAAACTTACCGCTTGTCCCATTGAATATACACATGCGATGTAGCACATTACATTTCTATCTTCGATAAATTTACCCTTATCTATTTCACCAACTTGGTCTAAAATAAATGCAATAACACAATAGTTAAGATTCTATTTTAAGTTTTGAACATGCGCCATTGAGTTGTAAAACGAATGTACAATTACTAGATAAAGAGAAAAGTCGATGCTCCCGCCATCTTACTTCTTTTTTCCATATATTCATCTAAACTATAGTTGAAAATTAAGACATAACATAATATTACCTTCTGTGACATCATTTTTAGGCATACAAGTTTTCTTTATCAGTTTCCCTGAGTTTTTAAGCTGCTGCCTGGTCATCTATAAAAAGAATAAATAACTTTACTTTTTAATTTTTTTTTACAATGGCCTGCAAGTTGAGAATCATCAAAAATGAAGATATTTTTATAAATCCAACTCATCTAGTATATTTGTAGCAGGCTGTTTGCTTTTGCTATTAAAAACATGTTAGATTTTTTTCTACTGCTAAATTTAATTGCGAAGTAATTGTTAGATGAAGGAGTTTCCATTAGTTAGATGTTTTTTAACAAAGTATGTAAACAAAACAAAATAATCTCGATAAAAATAACCCGTTACAAAGAAAATCTTAAAGTCAAAATAATAATGTAACAAAATTAAAACAATATTACAAGAAAAACAAAGATATATTTTAATTAATAATTATTTTAAATTAAATTATTAGTTTAAAGAATTAAAAACTAAATACTTACTGCTATTACCAAAGTTTGTGTTAATAAAATAAAGTACACGATACGGAAAAACATTGTTACTTGTTTGCGATGTGTTTATGTTTTAGGAGTCTGTAAAAAAATTACTGACAGGAAAGAATGCATAAAGTTTTATAAAGTGCTTTTGCAAAATAAATTATAAGTTATGAGAGCCGCATAATTTTTTCACAGGGGTATAGACAAAATGGTATTTTTACTAATACATAATATGGCTTTCAGACTAACCTTGGGTTTCTGAATCCAAAATCTTTGTATAAAACATAGCGTCATCCTTGTCATCTTTGACAAAACAGAGATAACAATAAGTTTTAAACGTATTTTGGTCTGTAAAACCCACAGTAAATCTTCTAATAACTTAATATTTTGTGATATAAGACAAGCTTCATGTTATGAAGGAGGAAGAAATAGTAGAAGTAAACAGGATCTTGGCTTTATAATGTAGTGCCGTGCTATACTAAGTACCAACATCTAGTTTAAGAATTAAATATTAACAATGAACGTGAACAATTAAGTAACATTTAATAAATACCAGTAGGAAAATCTAACAAACATATAATTTTATTTTTAACTTTCCTATCACTTCTTAAACAATCTAACCACAAAGTTTTTTACTTCTGAACATTTCGTCTTCTTTATCGACAAATAATACCTTCAAAATTAAAAGCAGTGAATTTCCGTCCAATCGTAAAAATGACTATTAATTACATGACATTAAAATAAATAACAACAAAGTTATAATGATAGGTTAAGATAGTCGATGACAGCTTATACGAATAATATTTTATTATAGAAAAACGATACGAAGTCGCTGGATGCAAAAAGGCGACGACTGACACGCTGACTACACTAAATATTATATTTTTGGTGCATTTGCTTTTTATATTTAATAAATTTTGAAATAAATGTAACTGATACTTACTTTATTTTATTTATTGTAAAAAAATTAGTAAAATTTAAAATAGATTTACGAAATAGTCTTTACTATATAGACAATCAATAGAATATAAAAGATGGTTAGTTTTTAAATATTTTTTTATTAAGAATTTTTATAAAGAATGTGTTAAAGGTAATATTGATTGTTGTAAACTATACTTTGGGTAAAACTGACAACGAATTCAGTATTTGCTCACAGAGTTTCAATGGAATTTACGGAAAAATAAAATTCGGTGGATCAGCTTCGTACAGACATTTTGTAGAATAGAAAATGCCCTCGCAAGGATCGTCGTATTTGTATTCTGGAATCAATTAAAAATTAAAAAAAAACACTAATATTTTAGAACTGAAAAACAGGTGTATTAATTTTCTGTAGTACAGAAGCTTAAAGATAAATGTTATAAGACATAAAATAAGACTTTCTTAGGAACAAAATAGTTTTAAAAACTTACGAACTTCTACGCAATCAGCAACGTTTCTCTTTACAGACTCTTTGAGCTCTTGAGGATACAAAATATCTATTTGTTTTGTAATCGACTCCTTGTTTAATCTATCGTTCTTTACCTGGAAATTATTAAAATGTTTCATTATTTTAAGTATCATGAAATAAAACAATTTTATTTTAATTTTCGTAAATATGACAGAAAAAAAAATATTTTTCTAATTTGTATCTTTATGATGACATGTAACATTATACAAGGTAACATGTAACATTTACCAAATGCCATTTCAATTATGTAAGTATAAATAAGGATGTGTGAGTTACTTACCACTTGAGTTAATTTATATACACACGCTATATAACACATAACGTTATGTTCTGCAATAAATACTCCTTGTTCTATTTTACCGACTTTCTCTGTGGACAATAAATATTATGTTTTAAATATTGCTTTTAACTAATAATTTTTATTTCTACTTACCATTCGTAACTCTATGTTTCGGCATACATTGATTTTTCATAACGGTTAATGTCTTCTTTAACTGTTCTCTTGTCATCTAATAAATCGTACAAGTAAAAATTATTTTTGTTAACTCACTTTTGCACAACTAGACTACATTATTACTACATTATTGTCTAATTTTAGCAAGACTTTAGTATGTTTCCTTTTTTTAAAGTATTAATTGTAATTCTTCATATTTTAAGTAGCTGTAGCCCTTGACTCCGTCTGCGCGGAATTAAACAAAAAACTATTGGTCGCAGCGTAATGTTATTTAGCCTAAAGCCTTCTTCTATAAATGAACTATCCAACAAAAAAAGAATTTTTCAAATCGGATCAGTAGTTCATGAGATTAGCGCGTTTAAAGAAACAAAAAACTCTTTCGCATTATAATATTAGTATAGATTTTTCTATCTCTGACTTAACATTCACATAAACACGGCACTATAGTTAGTAGTAGTAGTAGTAGTATAGTAATTAGAGTGTCTTATTTAAGTAAGTAATTGGTCATGGGTTCTTGTAGAATTATTACGCGTTTATAAATTAAATTATAATATAATAATTACTTACCCCAAAAACTATAGTGATATGAATAAAAAATAACAATACACATACAGTAAATCGTAACATTTTTTACAAAGCAATTGTTATCTTAATACAAAACTAAAGACAAAAATGAATCCTTATATCACGAAAAATGTTAAATACAAAATGTTGTAGTATCAAATCAAGTTATTTAAATACTATTAAATTTTTCGATAAAAAAATAACACACCTACAGTTTAACGAAACTACTCGTTAAATTAGTTAATAACATACTTGTTAAACGTTTAGCTCTGAATTAAATGACAAATTAACCTTCCATTTGTTTGTCAGCTATGAAAAAAATAGTTAAGGTTACTTTAAAAAAAAATTATGGTGGGAGTTTATACTGCCGAACGAAAAAATACTATTTTCCTCTATTTTTCAGGAAAATGTGAGAGATAACAATATATTACTTAGCAGGTTTTCGGCAATGAAAACCCACGCTTACATTATTCAAATTAAAGAAAATTATTCAATTTTGTTTTTATTACACATCATAAAATACATTTAGGATATTAAGGGAAAACAAAATTCTTCGGGTCAAAGTCGTACATACATTTGGCTGTCCAGTACGAAGCTTCACAAATGTCTTTGTATTTCTTACCTGAAAAAAATAAAGTTTACTGCGTTCATACAATAATAGTATTGCACTGTTCTACTGTACAGCCTCACTGTTCTACCCTCGTGTGAAATGCATCAGTGACGTAAAGGCCATTGTCAACTCACCGACATCTTTGCAATTAGCCGCAGCAGCCTTCACGGCATCCCTCATTTCCGCCGGAAACATTACGTCCACTTGCTTGATAACCGCTTCGTAGTTAAGTTTGTTGTTTTTGACCTATGAAGTTATTATGTAATTTTCATACACATATAAAAAAGCATGTATAAAGGCCCGCAGTAAACTTTCAGTGCCACAAAATTTTCCACTCATGAGTCAGCGTTTAGGAATTATTAAGATTACACCCTGATTTAAAAACAATGAACTAAACACAGAATATTTTGCAATAAAATTAAATACACAAAAAAAAAACTTACAACTTGTGACATGGAGTAAACACAAGAAATGTAGCACATTACGTTCCGATCTTCAATAAATTTTCCATTTTCTATTTCACCTACTTGTTCTGAAAAATTATATTATTTCTATGCAAACTTTTCGCATAACACTTGTATCATAGAAATCATAGTTTAGTATATTTAATTATATTAAATCAATTTAAGTAAATAAAATGAATAATAGATCTCAAGGATATATCACCTTCAGTAACATCGTTCTTTGGCATGCACGATTTCTTCATAATTTTACCAGAATTCTTAAGTTGTTGTCGCGTCATCTAAACATGAATATACCTAAGTAATTATTTAATTTCTTTACAAAATCAATATAGCTAACCATAAACACACAATTAGGGAAAACGACAAGTTACAGGGGGTAGACAATTTATTAAGTATTTCTCAGTCACCAAACGAAAATCTGTTGTTTGTTCCGTGAAAAATAGCCATTAAACAAACTATTCTTTTTAATTTTAATTTCATTAACTAACCGAGTTACTCAGAGTTATCCACAAATACAATATATTTATAATAAAATAAATGCACACTGAATTCATAATAACGATATTAAATATCAACACAAGTTTTCTGTTTCTTCAAATAATCGACAGATATAAGCGTATTTTACTTTATATATTTCTGTTAAAATTATCATCTACACAATGATTGATTAATGATATTCTAACTGACAAGACAATATGCACATAGTGACATATTAATTTCATATTAAGAAATAGGAACACCCTGTGATTAAGGTGACATCTACAAATGGATAATACAATAAAAACCTCAATCCTCTAACATACTCGTAAAATACAATCGGCAAAAACTGACAAATTGATTTAATATAAAATTATTTATTAAAATATACTTTTATATGTAAAACAACTAAACAACGAAAACCCATTTTGGGAATTTTGTATGTAAAATTGGGTAATTTCATTCTCTGTAAAAAATATTGTTTCATAAATTTAACGATACCTTTGTATGGAAGTTATTCATTATAGAACTATCAAACCTGTCAATTAAAAATCATCGGCCAATGATTTCATACAACAATATATAGGGTGACCATAATTATCGTTCAAGACAAGATTTATGTTTAAAAGTATTATATTCAAAATTTATAATGAGCATAAATTTGAAGTCATAGCTTTTAAAATGTATGTAAAAATTCATAAATAATTAGAGCTTTAACTCTACAAAACTTTACCTTAACAAATAGGCTGATGCCCATCAACTAATATTAGGCACTTAAGTAGTCGTTGGCTCTCTTCTCCTTTAAAAAAATCACAGGAAAGAAACTCGAATCCTAATTTGACGCTGATACCTCGGTTTTAAATTACAAATCTCTATTTTATAATGTCTCTACCACATTCAGTGTTTATGGTTACCTTTTAAGTTTCAAAGGTGTTAAACGTTACATGGATATTAATTACTGAGGCTTTTATAAAGGAAGACTTATCTATCTGAATTCTCCAGATTACTCGATGCCATGTCCATTTTGACTGCATTGGCAAGATTTTTAGTTATCATAACGATTTGTGAAGCTGTAAGTTTATTTTAACAATACTGTAAAAATAACTAGGTTACCTTTACAGAAATTATTCGCACAGTGTTTTTGTTTTTAAATAATTCAGTATTATATTTATGTGAGTTAAACAATAAGTTAATTTCATACATTTCCAGATGACAATGAAGCAGATCAAGTCAACGGGTAAAATGATGCGGAAATCCTGTCAACCCAAAAACAATGTTGAGGATGGTGAGAACTTAATACATTTATAATCTTGAGTTTCTTGGTAAATTATATGACCAATTAATTGTTTCTTTAGAAAAAATCGATCCCCTCAATGACGGAGTATTCATCGAAGAGAAAGAAGTTATGTGTTACGTAGCATGTATCATGAAAATGGCAAACACGGTATGAACAATTTAAAAATATAAAATACCATTTACAACCTCATTGCAAGAATTAAAGTCAAATCAATGAATATTTTCACAAGACAACACTGGTCAGGTTTAAATTTCTTTACATTCCTTTCATCATGTCAGAAAAAAGCTCTTGTTTTAAAATTGTCATAATTATTTAGGCGATTCGTTGCTCGTTTGCCCCCTTATCCTATAAAAAAAAAATGATACCTATACTCGGTGTCGCCCGCGTCTCCGTCCGCGCGGAATTAAAAATAAAACTGTGTTCTTCCAGACTATGGTCTACGTATACCCTAAATTTCAGCGGCATCCTTGCAGGCATTGTGGAGATACCTTCAATGCCATCCATCTAAACATTCGTATTTATAATATTAATAAGACTGTAAGATGTAAATTAAAAATAAATCATGTAAATTACAGATGAAAAATGGAAAATTGAATTATGAAGCAGCGATCAAACAAGCTGATATGCTTTTGCCAGATGAGATCAAAGAACCGACAAAGGCTGCAATAACTGCTTGTAGAAAAGTCGGTAGGTAGATGGTCAAGAATTAGTTTATTTATCACAAAAGCTTCCCGACGTTCATTCAGTGGAACCAACTTTTTTATTTGTTGCAACTAAAAAAGAATCTCAAAACTTTCGGTATTCAACTACCGAAACATAAAAAAATTACAATGTTTTTGTTCGACAGTGGTTTATTATTGTTTTCAGCTGACTCTTACAAAGACGTCTGCGAGGCTTCATTCTACGTGACGAAATGTATTTACAAAGAAAATCCTGATATCTTCTTTTTCCCTTAATATATAGATATTATATCTGTTTTAAATATTAAAGTTTTTGTGATAATATTTTAAATAAATAAATATTGTATTCGATTAGAGTAGTACTTTCAGACTATGTACATAGTCTAATATGTCTAGCTGTCTGTATACATATACATAGCCCTGGACAATATAGCCCTAACAAATTATATACTATTTAAAGAAAAGTTTAATAAGAACGAGTTTAATTAAAATCCTTATTACTATAGTTTAGGAAATATTTTGAAAACACAATTAAATCGTTTCTATTTTTTATTTATTGCGATGTACAAAACAATATATTACGTAGTTCTCTGGCATATAGCAATTAACGTCAAGCATCAGCTCCAAGACTAATTACGTGCAATTTTAACGTCTGTGAAATACAGAAAAACAGTACATTTACGATGTTTTAAATTATCTGTCATTACGTGACGTTAACAAAAGCTATTCGTTTTGATCTTAAACCCAATTTGAGTCACGAACTTGTAGAAATAAACATCATTTATAGAAAACTAAAATTCTAATTAACTAAGCGACCACCGCAATTGAATTGTTAGTCATTGAATTATTATTAGTAAGTAACCAAGACTGTGTAGTCAACCATCCCGAACTGGGCCAGCATGGTTGACTATGGCGTTGTCACCCCTAAATTACAGTAGGCCCAGAGCCCCACGGTGGGGACGTATAATGAACTGATGATGAATGAAGAGTACCGTCCCATCTACCTTTTATTATCTTGGATTTTATTTGTAAGATCCTTTCTGCTACTACGGATAAAAAGACATAGAATGAAACAAACATCATGTTAAAACTTTATATACTTTTTGTCTAGTCATTATGTATTTTGGGAAGCTGTGATTCATTTATAATGATCATTACATCCGTTAAAATCTAAATTGTTATTTAAATATCTTATAAAGATTATAATCACAAAAGATACTAGATATGATAAATAAAAATTTATTAATAATTATATAATTGCAATGTTATTATAATTTTTGATACAATGTAATAAAATTTAAGTATATAAAGCTTGTCCCAAAGTTAGATGACAACAGATTTGTAAAACATCGATCGAGATGTCTTTTGTAAAATTGGTTATTTGTTTCTCTTTCATTGGTGGTGCTTTGGTAAGAACTTTTACAAATTTTATAACTAACGTATTTTAGTTTCAAACATTCTCCTATTATAATTATTTATTTCAAAACCAAAGAAATTCATAGCAATCTTTCGGGCAACTCAATAGTATTCAATAGTATTATTATTTAATTGAGCTATCAAGTTTTTGGTGCATGTTGAAATAGTTTTTGTGTTAAAAATATTTTGCAAACTAACGGAAACAATTATTCGCGCTACCCATAATATTAAGTTCTGACACACTTTGTGTAAATTAAGGTACATAACATTTACAATTGCAGAACAACTCGTTCACAATTACATGAGAGTAGAAGATATCGCAACAAACTGCCTAATGTTAAATAGCCGAAAAATTAAAGTTAGACCAATAAAGAAAAGAATGGAAACACTATGTTCATTTTGTAATTCTACTACTAAGTTACTATTGCAATTTCTTATTTATAAAATAAAAAATATACCGTACATATAAAAGAAAACAAATTACATTTACAGAAGGTATCAATTAAACAAAGAGCCAAAAAAAATTGGCTAACAGGAAGAGGCTCAATTGATGCTGTCTCCAGCTTATAATTAGTCCGCACTGGTTTTCTGCCTCCCCTAATTACTTCCACTTCAGTAAATTTTATTATATGCACAGGCTCGCACCGAGGCTGAAGTGAAGGAATTCTTCTTGAAACAAAGCGTCGAGTGCACCAAAGACCACCCGGTGACCGCTGAAGAAATGACCATGCTCAACAAACACGAGCTACCCGATAGCAAGAATGCACGCTGCCTTTTAGCTTGTGTCTACAGAAAAACTACATGGGTAAGTTGGTTTTTATAATCTTTTCATCTAAGCATCCCTAAGACCTAAGACTTCGTAAGGTAAACGATTAGTCATCTCTATGCAACGGCCAGCTCTTTGACAGTGTGTGTGAGAGGTACAATTGTTCTAGATTGTTACTAAATTATGAGTTCCCAAACAAAATTTGTCTCGAATGATGTGAAGATTTTTTTAATTAATGCACATTTTCAGATGGATGAAAAAGGAATGTTTATGAAGGAGAACGCATATAAACTTGCACAAGAAAAGCATCCTGAGGACAAAGCAAAGTTAGAGAAATCTAAGGAACTTTTCGAATTGTGCAGCAAAGGTACAGAATTATTTAAAACTAACATTCTACCCCTAATCCTGCCTCTATGCGCAGGGGCGATTCTTTAACGCAGCTTAAAAACTCTACGTTGGCAGCTCTCGTGAAAATGCATATATTCTAATTGATAGTGTTTTGACGCGGGATAAAAAAGCGCCAACCTTTTTTTTGGCCTGGATTACCGAGCTCTGCTCGGTATTTTTTTTTAATTGTGTTTTTTGGAAATTATATTTAAGTACGAATTACTAATAAAATGATGAAATATGAATAAAAATTTTTGATCTTACCGATAGAAATAGTTAAGTTTATGTTTAAGTTGATTATCGATAAAACACGAATAAAATGACATTTTCTAAAAATGATTCCTAGCTAGATCGATTTATCGCCCCCGAAACAAGAGACTGACACATACAAGAATTGCTCATTTAAAGATATAAGATAACGATGTTATTTACAGTAAATGAAGATACTTTTAGTGACGGCGAAGAAGGCTGCGAGAGAGCTGCAAAATTGACTAAATGTCTTACAGAAAATGCTCCAAAGGTACATTTTTATTTTATTCCGACGTATGATAACTCGTTGCTTATTCCAAGTATTTTGTGAGCCATATATAGTCGTTTTCATATATCTTGGCGGCTCTTAACTTCGCGTGAGTCGTTGCGCAGAACACAGGTGTGTTAGGGTGTAAAAGGACGCGAAAAGGCACAGCGTAGCGTGCAGGTGACCTCTTGCTTCCAAGATATTTGATAAGAACTATAGTGACTATAACTTTATTATATTTGGATTATCCTTAATAACAACTCCTTTTCTTTCAGATGGGTTTTGAGCTAGATTAGTAAGAATAGAAAAACAAGCATTATATAATGTCATACTTAAAAGGATGCCCCAACAACTGATGTATATTTTTATGTGTACTTTGGTTTAAATAAATTATTTTTATTAAAAAAAATGTAACAATAAAACTCATTGGCAATTAAACATTGTTTTTATTTACTCAGCAGACATAGTAAAAACATATACATGTGTTGTCTTACAAGTACAGAATAAAAAATATATCTAAGAATATGCACGGTTATGTTTGGTAAAAATATGCAATGACACTTAACTATTTCCGTATACACAATTACAATATGTGCAAAAAAACATGAGAGGTGCGACACCCCCACCATTTATTTCACAACGAAAACTTTTGCATCATTATAAGAATGCCATCATAACATCATAAATTGCATTTCATGTTTTCATGCACTTCTCAAATTAAATATTTAAAAAAAATATTCTCGTTTGAAAAACTTGAGCGAATTCTATATAACACATGTAATAAATATCAGTATAAAGTATTATGTTTGTTCTTATTAGAGTTAAATTAAAAAAGAATAACACAAATATTTCAAATTTTTACTTCAGACTTTAAAAAATTCACAACCACATACTGAACAAAAACAAAAGAAAAATGTGAATATATTTAAAAAGACAAACTAAGAAATTATTAAAAGAAATTAGTATCTCTAATACATAAGTATTGCTATCTTAAAAATATCAATATAACTCCAGAGCTGCAGTGATATTTGTATTCGTCCCCACTGATCTCTATAAATGGATAGGCGATTTCTTGTAAATAACAGCTTTAGTTATGTTCCTATATAACCGCGCCTGTTGATATTACGTGACAGTTAACTATATCTGAATCATTAGTTCCAATCCACACCACCGCTACAAACCTCTACCATCAGCGCCAAAATGGCGGTAATGAAATAGGCACAAAATACCACGTCTAATAGCTAGTCCATTTATAGATGTCAGTGAACCTTTACATACTCTTTGACCAAACAGAGACATCAATGTGTAAAGTCGAACCAGGATAAGTAAGTGTCCGCGATTTTTTTAGCTTCTAGATGTTTATCTCTAACCCCAATATGGAGGTCTCGGTTATAAACCGGAAAATAATTCTCGCTTATATTAGTTTTTTACTTATCCAATTCTCGCTCATCCAAGTTCGACTGCATGTTCACAAATCTCACTACAAATTAAATGTGGGTAATAACAATTTAACAATCCAAACACCACTACGGTTTTAAATCATAACAAATAATTAGCATTTAAACATATTCTACGTTTTAAAAAAAATGTGCTATCTGACCTTAATCTGTCAAAATTCTGTAAAATAATGCCAAAAAAAGTTCCTGTTATTTTTTAGGAGCAAAAAATCACATTAAAATTAATTGCTTTTAAAAATATCTATTTTGCCAACGAATCAAATAGACGACAAAATATGGAAGATTTTGACGTATGTAGTAGACAACGTAGAACTACAAAGTAAAACGTAAATTGGTCCAGAATAATTTTATCATATTTAAATATTCAGAAAAGATATGTGTATTAATATATAAAATAGTTATAAAAATATCTAAAAACATTCAGTACGAGCAACGCACAAAATAAAAATTGTGAATTTTGATATTTGGTGACGTAATTTGCCAACATAGATTTATGACGTCATCAAACTCAACTCTCATGTTCTTCGGTTCGAGTAAAAAACTATGATAAATTGGCACAATTATAAGAGCTTCATATCAAATATTTCTATACACAAGTTTTAAGTATTAGACGCATAAATAATTAGGCCTATCGCAAATTTATTTGATTTTGTTTTTAACTTTCTTAATATGCAATCAAACAAAAAAACCTCTGGTTCAACTGGTAAACTTAACATTCGAGTGTTAAGATAAACATTTAAATCTATTTTTTTCCTCAAAATGATGATCCATTATCTATATATAAACCAAATAACAGAAATAGTTGTGTAAATAAACAAATATGTGATTGTAACTTATGTTATATGATAAAAATATTATGTCTTTTTAATACATTTAAAGTGGAGGTAATCTAGACTACGTGCTATTATGCATTTGGTTGAAATTAGATTCTATTATGTACCATGCGCTCAACCATAAACATTATATATTTATTTTCATAAATGTTATCACATGTTGTTTAAACATGATATAAAAACTACGAGGATTTCAAATAAAAAAGAATTATATAAAATTCTTTTTAGCTATTTACAAGCGAAGATTTTGAAAGTTTATATTGCAAATTTACACAAATTTATATTTATCGCGTACATAATATACAAATTAAAAAACTATCTACAATTTCGTAAAAAAATCATAATTTAATAACACTTTTTTAGATGTAGAATTAAAATGTTAAAAATTAACTTTAGACTGCCAAAATTAACAAGTAAATTTGTATTTTTTTTTATTAAAATTTAGATTCCAAATAATACTGCAAAAATTTATAAACACATAAGTATCAAAGTGATTCTTTATAGAAGTTTATACTTACCACAGCTAATCAAAATATAAACGGCAAGAAATGTATGAGATTATCAGTCAATGAGACACAGTTGGAGCACATGGTATGCACTTTGTCTACTCGAGGAGCACAAGTTGACCTTCAAAGGTCTCGTCCCTCTGATGTTATATGCTGTCGTAGCTATTCGGGTCAGGTGACGTCACCGGACCAGCGCCACGAGTCGGCAACTTGAACCCATTTATCATAAACGCCCACCCATCCTGTAATTATAATAATTTGTGAACACACTCATAATATCATAATATTTATTAATTTACCTTAAAGAATGCTTCAAAAAAAATATTTTTTTTAAATAAAAATATCAGTCTAGATACAAAAATAAGAACTTTATTTATACATTTATATAACTGTAGCCCATAAGTCTAATAGAAAAAAAAATATGATTTAGCCTGTGTTTCCTTCAGACTATCTTTTACATCTATGCCAAATTTCTGTGAGATCCACGCAACCATTTTGGTGATATCTTCTAACAAATATCCATCCATCCAACATTCGCAATTTCGATACTAGTAAGAACTAAGATGTAATTACTTTAACAAGATTCGGTAAATCAGTCCAGAAACCCAGGTTGGGGATTACTTCAATGCCAGTTGCACCCATTAAGAACTTCTTTGTACAAATTCCGAGTACGAGGTAGAATACGACGAATGAAAAGAAAATTATTAGCAACGTTGAACCAAACGATCGGCCTGGCTCATCAATTTTTGCTAGACAGGCATTTCTTGAATAGAACCGTAACACCTGAAAAGGATAAACAAAATTAGTTGCAATTGTTTTTTTATTTATAACAAAGAGTAAGTGTCCATGATGATGATGTGTATAGTGATTTAAATAGTGTAGTGACTACATAGACCCATAGACAAATGCAAAAAGTTAAAAGGGCTAAGTTGACTAAGCTTGCACGGAATATTCCCTCCTAATCTACCCTTCTCCTACCCAAGGCACTATGCCTTCAAAAGGGGAAGTGGACTAAAATTTACCTCTGGCATTAGACTCATCAAACAACGCTCAGAAATACTTCTACACACCTGTCATTATGTGGTCATGGTATTGTTTTTGTAATTTTAAGGCAATATAACTATAACTTCATAAAAATATTCTCTATGTAACAAAAACAATATTATTATGAAGTAGTGAGCTCAACAGAGCTGCAGGCTAACTTCGGAAAAACATTTTGACAGATACAAATCTATTAAAGCAAAGGAACTACAGTTTATTAGTTAATATGCATTAATAAGATCTCTGACGATATAGCCATCGTGATATTATACTTACAATATTTTTAGGGTCACCCAATGAATCTACTATAAGTTTATTTTCACCTTCAGCACAAACAAGTTGGACAATTGTTGATCTGAAATGATAGAAGATAAAAATGAATTTTTTTGTATCCTCTTATTTTCTTTGAGAAAACAGAAGCAATAGTGTCAGTGAAATGTCAGCTAAGAGCTTATGTCATTAATAAAAAGGTTTTTTGTTTTAATTAAATACTTACGAAGGCCCATTGTGGTAAATAATTGAAGAACCATCAGCAGAAAATTCAGTATTATTTGATGTTCCCATATATTCGTAAAGACCTTCGTCAAATACAAAAGTCCCCTTGGTATTATTTAGAGTTAGATTCTTTTTATATCGACACAACTGTAATAATTAATGGAAAAAATGTTAATATTGACTTTTTGAAATATCTGGGCAGCTTGGAACATGAAGCACTACCCAGAAAAATTTTAGAGGTAGCAGGATACGGAGAGATGCTGGGCGAAGGCACTGCAAATTGTGCATTGAGATTCAAAGCACCAAGATATTTGAATAAATTATAATATTTTTATGATTACCATTAATGTGACTGAATGTTTAAAGTCAAATCACACAAACAATGCAATATTCTAATTCTCTCACGGGCCTTTAAAATTATAGACAAGTGTTTTTTTCTAAATTAATTTCAAACCACTCTAACAAATAAATTTATACTTCATAATGATATCCCATATAAGATGTTTTGGTCGTGGAAAGTCACAGAAATATTTTGTAATTACCCTAGATGCATGGTTAATAAAAAAGGATACTAAGAGTTTGTGACTCTAAAAGTAAAGTTTGTTTCTGGACATTTTCAAATTTTTATTTGTAGACTCTATACATTTTCTTCCTTTATAATACCAACATAAAATTAAATATAAATATTTCACATTTCGGGCCATATATTCAATCTTGTAGTATGAAATAGAGGTGTAAAATGTTATCTGTGTTCACTATTTATTAAATTAACAAGCATTAATATCTATTCAAGGTGTTCTACTACTGATAGTGGTTAGACTCATATTGGGCAATGGATTACCATATTTCGTAACAGATGAGTCCATCCAATTAACACGATTTCTAAGACATGTTACAATTCCTATACCCTCATGTTTATTTAAAAATACCAAAAATTGTAAAGGAAATGTTATCATGTAGACAAACCGGGTTTGGTAAATATAGAGTATTTAAGATGTACTTACAGACAATGACGTTGTACACGTGTTATTTGCGACTGATTTGTTTATTATTGGCAGCGCATCAAAGCAGGGATGATATAAGTAGGTACTAAAAGTATATTGAGATTCATCAGCGTTGCTCTTGAAAGTATCAACTGAATAAAATGTACTCTTCACAGCTAACGATAAGTCGATGCCGGTGCCATTGGAAAATTCACAAACACAAGAACTTTTTTTAACACATACATCTGCGTGAGTCAATGGATACAAAAGAGAAAAATAAATTAGCGTACAAGTAATAATATTACTTCTTTTATACATTTTTGCAAATGAACTTATCATGTATGCTTTTCTTGATGACGGTGATGGACAGACAAAACAACATGACATATGACAATCGAAATGTCAAACACTCAGAAATGACAAAACCTACTTTTTTTTCCACAGAGTAAATTCTGTATCTATAAATTTTCAAGTGGTATGAAAGATAGAGCAACACAGCCTTTGGCACTTTACATCAACTTTACATCATCATAACATTGATTTTATTTTATAATTGAATGGAGTTTTTAACTTAACATTTTAAAATAAATACTTTGATATTTGTTTCCACTGTTAAAATAAACATTGTTCACTGTATTCTTAATTACTTATTAAGAAATTATACCTCTTCACTGTGAATTAAAATTGGTGGTCACTAGAAAATATAATGGCTGATAAAAAGAAAAAGATTTTATTTACAAAGGTTGCACACTTTAAATGTTTGTATGAATTGATATTTTCAACAAATTATAATAATTATTATTACCTCTAACTTCAGGAAGCAGCCACAAGACGACCAATGATATTAAAGTCTGATCGTGATCGTGGTCCTTCACAGGACCAAAACAAGGACAAACAGGAAAAGGAAAAGCAACCTACAATAATTTTAAAGACACGCGAACAAAATGCACCCAGGGAAGAACGCCCACAAAGTCCTAAAGCTCAGACATCTGAAAGCGATGGATATCATCCACAAAAGATAGCTCAAAATGAAAATAAGGACAAAAAGATTGTTGGTACGTATTTTTGTATAAATAGTTTACTTCATGAAGACTCAAAATAAAAAGCAAGTGATTCTCCAAGATCAACTTATGCTCTTTCCCAGAATTTATTTATTAGAGGATATTTACTAGTGTTCTTTACAAAAAATAAAATGTATATGTTTTATATTATTCTTTATTTAGCTTTTTCAGAATAATATGAATTGAATTGATAACATCCAAATCAGTTTTTTTCCATACAGAATCAAAACCTACACCTACATTGAAATTAATGTCAAATCCGATCAAGTTATTGGATGAAAATTTGGAATTTAGCCAATCTGCATTAAAGTATCTACAGGATTGTAATACTAATTATTTAGTTGTTGGTATTATGGGTATGTAATAATTTATAATCAATCACATATAACTTCATTGATTGCTTATTGCTGAGTCGGATAAGGAAAGATAGATGATGATAGGAAGTGTTAATAGCGAAGAAACCCAAAAAAATGTAATGGGTTGTGCTATCCTAAGTTTAATTGTGCACATAATAATTAATGATATAGAAAAAACTTGCACAAAAGATTTCATCATCAGCTTTTGTCTATCTACTGCTGGACTTTCTCAATGCCTCTCTTAGTGTGCTCTGCCTTCCATATTTAACAAGTTCCATGCACATATTGAGTTATTGTTTAAAATAAAATAAAATAGCCTTTATTGCTTTACAATTTTTACAATTTATGATAGTTATACATGCCTATTAACTAAAAAACTAAATTAATTTAAACAATTCTACTAGTATTTAAATGATCGGCAACTTGTTTGTATTGAAAAGCTTGTCAATTGACAAAGGCCTCCTCTAAAGATTTCCAAGTATTCCTATCTCTTTGCTAAGCGGATCCATAACGGTCCAGCTATTTTCTTAAAATCATCTTCCCATCTTTTGTTTTGTCTACCTCTATTTCTTTTGCTATCTCTTGGATACCAATCTGTTACTAGCTTATTCCATTTCTCTTTGTTTCCTCTTAGCTTGTGTCCCGTCCAACGCCATTTTAGCTGTCTGTAGACTGTGTGTGCATTTTTAAACTTTGTTTTCTTTTTTATTTCTTGTAATTTCACTCTATCTCTTCTTTTTAGACCTAAAATACTCCTTTCTATTGCATTTTGACAAACTTTTAATTTAGTTTCTTGCACTTCTGTTAATATACTTCTGTTAATATTGTTGTTTATTAAAAATTAAATCTTTTTATTCCAGGGACACAAAGTGTAGGTAAATCAATGATATTAAATTTAATTGCACAGAATACACCTTTACCAGATCTTTGCACAGAAATTTTGAAATCTCATGACTTACCTAACACAGAAGCAAATGATGTTGCCATAGAAAATCAAATGGAAAATTTGAATATTGCAAATACCTCAAATGAAACAAACAATAGTTTTTTCAAATTTAAAATGCAAGATATAGAACAGATAGAAAGAGGTGCTCATTGTACTAGAGGTAAAATTTATTTATTGCTTTTATTTTAAGACAACTCTGTCTGCGCAGAATTGAAAAAAAATAACAAGTAACCTATGTCTTCTTCCAAATTATGTTCTGTATGTATGTCAAATTTCATCATGATCCATTTAGCCATTTTGTTGATACCTTCCAACAAACATCCATCCATCCATCAATCCATCTAAACATTTGCATTAAGCTGGCCATAAGCATAACTTTTAAAATTATTTTTAACATGAAATTTTAATTTATTCCAGGTGTGGATATGTATGTAACAAATGACCGTGTAATATTATTGGACTGTCAGCCATTATGGTCACCCTCTCTTATTGATGAATCGAACAATGTAGCAATGAACCCGAGATGTGCTAACATTGTGACGGTTGATTGCTTGGAAATTGCATCATTCTTAATGTCAATATGTCATGTGTTGATAGCTGTGCAGGACTGGTTTGCAGATTATAACTTTTTAAGGTAATTAATTATCCAATATCACTATTTATAAACTCAAAAACCTTTTTAAAATTTATGCTTCTATCACTATGTACTTACTGTGTTTATGTTTTAAAGTTTTGAACCCTATCATTTTTTAACTTTATGATTTGACAAACAGTGTATCACTTGACTAAAATGTGGATGTTGCTTAGTTTTTTTTAAATAAATTTTTAGTCCATTATGTCAAATTTAATCATACTATAATAATATTATAAATGCGAATGTTTAGATGGATGGATGTTCGTTTGAAGGTATCTCCAGAATGACTAAACATATAGCGATGAAATTTGGGATAGATTGACAGAATCTGGAAGAACACATAGGCTAATATTAAATTATTTTTCAATTCCGCGCAGACGGAGTCGCGAGCGACAACTAGTCTTCTATACACCTAAGTTGTATTGTAATATAATAGAACAACTGCAACTGTCTCACGATCCATGAGTCACTAAAGCAAAAATCACTATGTTACAAATACCATGTTATTTCAAACTTACAATTATAGATTTATACAAACAGCTGAAATGTTGAAACCAACATTATCAGCTTCAAGTTCAGTGAGTGTGCCCACGGAAGGCTCGGAGTCATCTGGTGATGGAGAGTGGCAACCACATCTGTTGTTGTTACATAACAGATGCCAGCTTGAAGACTTCACGCCTAACGCTGTGAAGACTATGCAAGATCTTTATAGGTAAGTGAGCATTGTTTTAACTTTCAACAGTTAAATACTCATAAACATATATGACTATTGACCCTTTGTCCATATGTCCATGTCCTTGTCCATGTTTTCTTCCACACTATATTCTATATCTGTGTTAAATTTCATCAAGATCTATTGAGACATTCCGGAGATACTTTCTAACAAACACCTAACCATCCATCTATCGCAACTTTTGCATTTATAATATTATAATAACACACTGGCACTACTCTTATGATCGATCCCAACAAACAATAATCTGTAATCCATTTGCTTTAAATTAAATATTTGGATCAACCGCAAGGATTGGTTCTTGCCAAATAATGTCATGTATCCATTCTCTATTTAAATCATAATATGCTTTCAACTTTAAATTTCTTCACAGCACAAATTAGCTAATTTTATAAAGATACATTATTACAATTGTCTTTGATGTTTCACAGGAAAGCATTTCAAAAGTCAACATTGCAGTTAAACTCCGGCATGTATATGTACAGTGATACAAATAGAAATGGTCTCCATGTGGACCAAGTGTGCAAAGGTTATAACATAGACAATTGTGGACCGCCTATCAATTTGTTCCTCCTTCCAGAGATTTATAGTGATTTTGGTAGGTTATTAGTACATATTTCCTTACATTTCTTTATTACTTACAAATATCTATTATTACAAAAATTGAAAAAAAAAGGAATACATTTTTAAATCGCTATAATGAAGTATAAAATTTTTGACAGATGACAGCCCGGTCTTGACAGTAGCACCACCTAGTTTATAGTTAGAGATTTAAGTTTTTCTCCCCATTTGCGAGTGTAATTTTTTTTTTAATTTTATATCTGTAAACATTTTATAACATTACAGATAACAAAGATATATACCGAGGTCACCCGTCATTTGAACAATTAGCAAAGAGACTTCGCTGGCTTGTGCTAGGAGCAAACAGACATCAGATAACAAATGTACCAAATCTCTCAGAAAAAGGCTGGTTCCAGTTCTGCAACAAAGCTTGGGAAACAATCAGAAAATGCACATTCTTCATTGAATATGAAAGATTGCTACCTTGAACCATTAAACGATTTTTTCTTAGATAAAGATGATTTTATTTGGTTGATGAGGCGGGCAGTCCCTTGTAAATAATAAAAGTGTACAGTCAAAAGAATTTATTAAAGATAACACGAGATGTATTGGACCCAATAAAGATTTTATAAACTTATATTAAATAGTTTCATTACATCCAGTAAGTAAGTGCTGAGAGAAGTAAATCATACAACTAATGTTATCTAACCAACATTTTTCGGTTGTAGAATACAAGTTAGAAAGTATATCATTAATTTTAATAGAAAAAGTATTGAGTAGAGGAAATGGTTTCTCCTGATGAGTCTGGTTTCGAAGGACCAATACGAGCACTCCCTTTGACTAAAATAGTTTAATGAAAAAAAAACGATAAGAAAGGAAAATATACTTTTTCCTGTGGGACGGAAAGAGTATCTTTTCACTGGTATACACTGTTAATAAGAGGTTTACGGCGTTGCTCCGGAGGTTTATAGGCGTGTTGATAGACGCTCGCCAGCCGCCAGTGCTCCGGGTAGCCCGTAGCGTTCGCATCCCGCCAGATACTGAACGGGGGCGCTAATGTCGGTATCGTGTACGATTTCTTTGTGTAAGGATGACGCATCTTAGGCATCTTTACGTTCTTCGAATCGCTCGAACTCACGCTCTGCACGGAATTAGGATTCCCAGCCTTAAATGCGAACTTGTAGTCCTCCTTTTGTTTCGGCACTTGCAAAATTTTAGCACCGTTACAGGAAAAACAATGCTTATGTTTGACATTATTCGAAGAATCTTTTGAATGTTTTGAAATCGATTCATTCGGTGAACTTTGGTGTAATTTGCCCTGAGCTAGTGGAGTTTTATCGTATGATTCCAAACTGTTTCTTTTTTGAGCGTCAACATTATTATTTTTCTCGTTGTTTGAATTCCAGGCGTCTTTTACGTCTTGTAATTTATCAGGTCTTTTGCCATTAGAGCTTCTGTTGGCAGAGCTCGGTGTGCCACAACCGTGGACACCGTCACATTTGTTGTTTCTGACGGATGTTGAAGAAGTTTTTCTACTTGAAGACCTCGATTTGATATTATCACTAGCATTGTGCTGCGAACAGTATTGCACATCGCATGAATCCTTGCGTTTCTCTTTCGTCATATCTTTTTCAAAGTATGGAACCGGATGATGTCCTATATCTTCCGCGATCCTATTCTTATTAAAAATCGGGACAGAATGACTGACTGCATTTTGAATATCTTCCTTTGGAGTGTGTACCATGGTGAACACAGCTGGTGCCTTAGAACCGTTAGACCCATCGATATGTTTAGGCGGCGAAGGTTCTAATTTGACATCATCGGGTCTAAAATCCCAGCATATTGCGAGATCCATAAGGGACATTGGCTTTTTGTATTGTCCTCCTAAATCTAAAGCGGACGTCGATGGACGCTGTTTTCTTTCCTCAACTTCGTTTTCAGATTTTTTGGGGTCACAAGTCTTAGGTCGATGGACGCGCATTTTGGTGCAGCATGTGGGTCCTGAAGCTCCGTAACCCTTCCATCCAATAGCGTACGGCTTGACGACTATATCGGAATCTCGATGCTCCCCTACTTTAGTCAAATGACGGTATCCTAACGTGTCAGGCAAGGGCTGATGCTCTAAGTTTCCAACGTGCATTTTCTTAGCAAACTGAAAATTTTGCGACACATTCACGTACGGAAGTTTTGGGGTTTCGCTCTTTTTTTCATATTTCATAGTCGCACCGATTTGTTCATCGTGCTTTGCATTTTCCGCAACTTTTCTCCAGAAATGGTCTGTTGGATCGTCTCTAGGTCCGTGTATTTTCTCAAGCGAATCATTTAATAGTATATCGTAGCTTTCATGTCTATTTTTTGGATCTGTTTCAGAACCGGGGACATAGGGACCATGTCCATCGCTGTCCACTGGTACGTTGGTATCTGCTTGTAATCCTAAAGGGTCGTCCTCATTGCGTTCGGAAAGGATATCATGAGATTCCTTATCGGTATTTACATTCGCGTTAATATCGTAATCTTGATCCTTTGTACAGACATGTAAAAATTGGTTTAAAAGTAAAGTATCAATATGTATTTAAAACAAAACATTTTAATAAGTAAAAAATTGTATAAAAGCATAAATAAATTATACTATGTAAATTAGTACTAATATATTAATTTTTCTGGTTTGGGATCCGGAGTTTTATAAGAGAATTATTTATTATGTTCTTCTCGATGATGTTTATGGATTGGACACAGAAGAGGCTGAAAGAAACATTATCAAATTAGTAATTAAACAAATTCTATCATCAAGCATAAACAGAAATATAGTTTCTTAAAAAAAAACGATGTTTCTCGTCTGTACCATATTAGTGTAAATAGGGCGATTAGAAAACTTCAATATTTTAATACAAATACAAGAATCAATCTATCAGAGAATCAATGCCTCTATTTACCCCAAAACGCCAAGACCGTATTAAAAGGTTTATTGAAGAAAGTCAAGAGTGACAATTTAAGCTTGTTCGAATTAAAAAATCTGTAATATGAATCATGGGATATGTGTGAATCTAATCTAAATTATTAATAATAATTTAACAGTCTCTGTAAATTATCTAAATATCATGCAGGTGTGCTATCTACAAGCGGCTAGCATTTTATCAAAGCTTATTACCTAACGATAGACAACTTTGTTGCTGTTTGCGATTATTTTATAAATGTTAATAACTATTAAATCAATGTTATGAGAGTACTCAGATATAGTCTATTTGATGGAAAAAAACCATATTACCGCGGTGTAAGAACTAGTTTTGTGGAATATTTCTACTTCGACTTCGTCCGCGCGGAGTTTAAAAAGTCTAGTAATAAATATAACCTAACACACAGTTTTCAATCTGTCTCGTTTGTATATTTTTTATTTAAGTTTACAAAGTGTACAAAAGCTATGCATCCTGTCTTCCAGTCACGACAAGAAATTAGTTGCACGAATTATATTCAGTTGCATAGACTTTAAATAAAAATATAACTTGGTATTTAGTTAACGAAGTTAATCCTATTCACACGAAATATGAAATTCAAACTCACGATTTACGATAATGTTTAAGTCCGCGGTAAATTATTCTTGAAAGTTTAAACGAAATGCGCGGGAAAACTATTAGCAGCAGTGTAAAGCGCTACTTACTTGGAACGGTTCTGTACTGGGCGGCTTTTCCTTTTCGTCAGTAGCCGCTTTGCCACGCTTACCAGGACGCATGCGCATTGAAGTACTGACGACCTTGGGTCTTTGGACGCGAGGGTGCAACCAATCCGCAAATCTGTTGGCAGGTGGTTCCTTTGCTAGCTCCTCCGCTACAAAAGATATGTTTAATTTGGAATAAATTCCATTAAGTAAGGTTAAAGATTCAACAACTTGAATTAACAAGTGAATCTATGTTGCAGTACACAGGATGATCGAAAAGCCCCTATCATTAGGTCAAGTCACATGTTTATTTGTTGGATTCAATGCACGGAACGCATTGAAGACGGATTCGCAAACTACTTACTGTCATGAAAATAACTTGAACGTAAGCGGGCACGTGAGTGTTGACAAATATAGAGCTACGGCAAGGGTCAGGACAAATCGATAAGGTTGCGTTAACAATTTATTTTTAGATACATGCAAAAACTTTCCAAATACTCTTTGCTTAAACATAATTTATATATTTGCAAAATATATCAGTAACGACGACAAAGGCGAATATGTTTGATTGATATTACTTACCAACTTTTCTATTTATTTTTCTAGGCAAGTCCCAAGTTCCCGTGAAGTGTCCAAAGCACTTAGAAGATCCTTTTGGTGCTCCGGGTAGGAAGTGTCCGTTTATGTCGCAAATGGGCTTAGGGTCGGGCCGCATCTCAAGTGGGCGCGCACGAGTTGGTGACCATCTGGGCACTTGCCAGTTGCCCATTCGTTTAGGTGTTGTTTCTTGGTTGAACTGTAAGGAATGTAGAACGTAGGTACCTAAAGTAACAATATGAAAATTATATATATACCTGAAGTCTACCAATCCGTACTGGACCAGAGTGGTTGACTAAGGTCTTTTACCCCTAACCTAGGGTAAGCTGGATGAAGATTTTTTAATAAAACAGTCCAGAAAATGATAACGTGTTGCTATTCTTACAATTTTGCAAGGGTTGTGTAAAATTAATCTTTAAACTTAGTTAATATCTTCGTTGCAATTAGTAAAAGGCGTTTGTGTTTTCATTCATCACTGATGCATGACGTGTGACAATGGCGGGAAACACGTGGCAATGTCATTCAAATGTCGAAATGACATATCAAACACCAAAGGCATCAAGGCCCCAGTTCACCACTACTGTAATTGTTAAACCAAAAATATATCATTACTATTTGTGTCTTTTAAAATCGTACTTTAATTATTTATGATTTATTTTTTAATTATATAAATTAAATCTTAATTACGCAAAGATTTGTGCTGGAAGCAAAAACATGTGCTGGATTAATTTTGAACTTGAACTTTTTTCGTTCTATCGAAAAAACATGTATTATTTCTAGGTACTTTTACTTATAAAAATGAGTCTTTAAACATGAAAGATATTCCAAACACTAAATCAAAAGTTTAAAACAAGGAATCTTAAAATAAAGTGATTGTCAGAGAAAACATGACTATGATTGTAAAAGTGTATTGAGCAGGTGTCAAACCCCTATGACCTATTGTTACGACCATCCCTTCCGAGTACGTACAAAGGGTTGCAAATTACTATTTACTCCATACATCACGCTCCCATTACCAACAAATAAGAACGGGTGTCATAATTTAGAATTATACTGTCAAGGGCTTTTATAAGGGTTTTAAGATTGTTAGTTTATATTTTTTATGATTTAGTTCTATAACTAAAGTTTTTTAAATAGTAACTAAGCATTGCAGTATCTCTGTATATGCAATAGCTTTCGCCCGCGACTTCGTCCGCGCGGTATTATAAAAAAAAACTTAATAACTAGCCTATGTGTTCATGCAGACTACTATTGGCAAACTTCATCACGGTCTCTTGACCCGTTACTGAGATATGTACCTTATAAGAATTATCATTTAATAAGGTTTCGCATTTATAACATTAACAAGGAGTATGGAATTTATATACCATTTCCGATACAGATATAGGGATTTTTAAATGGTCTTGCAAGTCGACTTCTTTAGTTACGGTATAGTTACACAAATGTTTTGTTTATGGTGGTGAATTTTAACAGTTGTAACATCATGTATAGGGAATTTATTTAAGAGAATGAATGGTACAAGTATTACTACAGTGGTGGCTGTAAACTCAAACTAAAAGCTATAACACGCAGTCGAACTGAATCAAAATTCTAAAATACTGATGTCGCATGTTACAGTAATGGCGTACAGCATGACACGTAATTTGCATTTAGTGTACGAATAAAACATGCTACATTTAAGCTATGATTTATTGCAAATAAAATTGACATGTTTATAAAGCTTGATACCAGAGACAAATCTTTTATTTACTTTAACAAAACTGATTATGTGAATGGTCTACAATATTTATACCAGAATACCACAATTTTGCTTTCATATGGCTATTTACTGTTTTATATTTGCCTTTTATTTGTTATCTTCGCTATGGTACGATAAAGATATCACATACTGAGACCAGTGCCCTAATGAGAACGGCAAATACGATCTAAAGGTACCAGACTAAGCAAACTTTTTGCATTGAAATAGTTTCATAGAAATTGTATCTCTATTTCTATATTTTTCAGAATATTGAACCTCACGTTAGCTACAATCTAGACATATTTAAATGTATTCTTTTGACATATCTATGAATTACGATCTGCCCTCGCCATGTGTCACTTTTATGTGCCCTATAAAAACAGAAATCTCCCAAAACTAAAGCAGTGTCTCCTAATTCAGATTTGTAAAACATATTTTCTTCGTATTGTATTTTTAAACCATAGGCTTAGGATGTATCAAAACAATCAATCGTATAGACACAAGTGCGATTAACTAAACGCCACCGACCCAAGATGTCAAACAAGGATTACCATCCCATACAAAGCGGTGAAAAATTGTCGACAACCCGTAAAAAACAATCTGCCCCTCAACAATGACCATTAATGATTACACAATTAAATATCAACCGTAGAAATACTAGAAATAGAGTGTAATTTCGAATGTTGATGAGGATGAGGACATTTACTATGTAATTGGATGTATCTAACTCGGATTAAAGGCATTACAAATTGCGCGCAAATAAAAAAAGGTCTTAGCTTTAATAGAATAGGGGAGTGTAATAGTGTTGCAGGTGCGCTTTAGTTAAAAAGTACATGGGATTAGTTAACACGAAATACGAGAGAAAAAATTACATACTATTATAATATTATAGTTATATTAATTAGTGACATAAAAACAAACTAATTTTCCTTAATACTTAAGTAAATACTAAAAGGGACTATTAAAAATGATTAGGTTTTAAATCTTAATTGTAACCAGCATTAAATTAGGAAAATAAAATTAAAAAATGTTTGTTATTCCACCTTTTCTTAAAACTGAACAAAATATACCCAAAAGGTTATGTTATGGGTATTTTATCGTCATCAGCCTCAATCAGACGAAAATAGATATATAAGTTGAATATACTATTATAAAATGTCAAATACATAACCAACAACACGTAACCCAAAGGAAAGACATAAGTTTAAGTACTTACCTGCCCACTATCAAAGTTAAAAGCCATTCTTGAGGTCAAATTTCACTAAATATCACTTGTAAATTATGAAAAGGATTCAAATATATCACAGTTTTGCTTGAGGTTTGCCTAAATACGTCAAAAAGATTGTAAACATGTCAAAATTCTTTAGAAAATCGTACGCTCACGTCATATTTGTCTACGGTTTGAAGGCTTCGTATGAACGTGGAAAATTAGGGGAAAACTATTGGCACAACCGCCCTGTTGCTATGGAAACTATTTAATTTCATTAATGCACTCACGCAATATTCTTGTCCGATGAATATTTTCAAAAGAAACATTGCTTTTAAACCTTTTTAAATGTATACCTATCAAATTATTGATATGTTATCATGAGTTCCCATTGCTAAGAGTTAAAACACAATATGTAAAACTTTTTGTTATAATTTATTGGGTTTGAAAAACAAACATATGTAGATATTTCAGCAACGGGAACCGAGAAACATGTTTATGGACGTAGACCTAGAAAAAGGTTGAAAGTTGTGTCTTGTTTACGTTAAATAGAAATTAGTAATGTCCTATCAACCTTTCTAGCTTCTGGGATTGCTTTCTATGGTAAAGGTTACATAGTTAGAAAAAAAAGAAAAAAGATTTAACTCGAGACCTGAGTAGTAATTCTAAGTTGTCTATGAATTACCAGCAAGACTCAATCAACTAGTATTTTTGGGATACGATCGACAACGGAGTTAATGTTGAAATTGCTGACGGAGTGAACAATTCATCGCAGTAACATTTAAGTAAAAAAATACATAAAACTGTCAGGAATTGTAGACAAACAAATTGCGTGTTCGGAAGCGATGTCACAATGAAGAGAATTAAGGTTTGCCGTGACCTTCAACATTACGCTTTATATTTTATTTGTTATGTATAAAATTGTTTATTACAGCATTAATAATGTAATGCGAACCAACATTAGCTGGAAGATGTCGCTGGCAGGTACATGAATCTTTACATAAATTAAGGTTTAAATTTGTATTTGCTACCAGTATATTGTGACAAGGCTTTAAGTTTTCTACGGAAGATAACTTGACAGGAATTGTTGTGACTACCTTGCTTGGGCACCATACAGGACAATGCATAAGTAAGAAAAACAATAATTTACCTTTTCCATTCCCTTAGCAAAGAAGGGAATGTAATAATCTCATGATATTTAGGAAACCTTGTTAATTTCGGTGTATGCTGCCTTTTTGGGGATTCATTTTGTCTGAACAACAACTTTATTTTATCTACTTGAACAGTATCTTTTCTGTGTGGGGTAAAATACTTTTTGGTAACCCTACTCTTAATCGTCATTTATTTGAATTCATTTAAATATCTTGCATGCTATGGAAGACATTAAATCAAGTCTCGAAGTTTGTTCAGGTTAACTTTTAACCTTGAAATTTAATATTATTTTTAATGTCACGACTCTTGCCCTGACAAAATATGTAGCTTATATGCAGGGCTAACTTTTATATATTTATTTCATACAATATTTACTGATGTTTGCATTGATGAGGATCTTTACCAGGTTGGTTGGCAAAAGGTAACCAAAAAATTTACCCATGGGTAAAGAAATCTTAAGCGTAGAGCTAATCACAAGGGCTCCGACAGAGACTATGTTATGCGTGTTTCGTGTTTCAAGAGAATGAAACAATCTGTAACCATGAATAAAAGGATCAAAAGTCAATGACCGACCTTGAAATGAACTTACGCAAATTATTGAAAAATTTAAAATGTTGAATTCATGCGATAAATTTTATTGAAATTAAATTCCGAAAAGATAGAGTTTAATTGATTATCGTTAAAGTGTGATTAACACGTGAGATGATAAAGTACTTACTGTAGTACCTACAGTTCGAATACCAAAAAAAAGGAAACGTAATATGAAGAAAAATTTTGAATTTGCTGTTCGAAATTTGCTAAGTGCCTAACGGCTATAATTATTTACTTTGAATCTAAAAAACAAAGATTATTATTTCATTCGATATAGTTTTCTCTTTACTTCATTTTCCATGTAACAAATTTGTTACAGAAGGTAAAACGTGGTACAGACATCCAGCTGTACCCTGAAACTGTATCGATCTCTGAACGTGTCTGGTCGTTCATTATCTCACAGCACCTGATGCCGAGGCCGGGATCGATAGGCGGGGCCGAGCGGTATTGGAGGCTGAGTACGGGGAGGAGTCGGGAACACAGATGTTATCAAAGTAACAGGGATAACACTGAAATAATTGTTGCAAAAGGAAATTTCTAAGATAATTCTTGTTTTTTCATAATTCAAAAAATACTACGCGACAAAGGAACCGAGATTCGCGTAGGACCAAGTTAATTGTTATAAATATTTTTTATTAGTGTGTTTATTCCCTATTACATCAAATAAAAACGATATATCACTTAGCCAGAAATAGACATGCCAATTTACCTAAAATTAGATATGTTTAATTCATATTTTACTCAAAACGTCCGCTACGTTTCAATGCCTAGATGAAAAACAAAGTCTAGAATAACACATGAAATATTTTTTTAAATTACGTGTAGATGAAGTCGCGGACGAAAATTAGTTATTATATTATATACAATATCATAATTTGTGAAAAAAAAATTAGACAAAAAACAAGGACTTAATTATTTTTTGTCTAATTTTTTTCGTGTAACAACCCTCTGGATCTCCCGTTAGGCTCCGCCCTCAAGAGAGGGATGTTCCAACCCTCTTTCGGAGGACATATAAACTGCATCCCAGTTCACATTGGGATCAGTGTGATTTTATATGGTTTTCCGTGACGTTCTGACTATTTTAATGGTGACGTAATTCGTGTGAAATTATTTTAAAAATAATTACTTTCGTTTCACGGCTTGTTTAATCAAAAGGTGAGTTAATAGTTCTAAAAGAATCTAGAGATATTTTGAAATGTAAAGATCACATCGGTACATGGCTCTTATCTTGAATAGCTTACAAAATTTCAGAAACAAATTATGAGATGTTTTCCATCATTGAAATTTGCTTTTCCCTTTGGGATATTAATTAGTACAAATCTTGACTATACTTGCCATTTTATTTGCATATTTACTTACTGATATTAGGAATACCAATGTTATTTTTAAAATACTTAGTTAATATATTTTCCATCGTCTCCACGCTGCCTGCGTTTTACTAGATAGATACATTAGAATAGGCAAGGTTGCAAATTCAGAGATTCCACGCCCGGCTCCTTGCACATAAGGCAAAATAAAAAGCGTAAAATACTTATACTTTACGTCTGTCTTCTGTGAGATTGAAAATGAATGTGCGAAAATATTCCTCCCAAATTCCATAACAATGACATCTGTTATCAAATACCAAGATCTAATACAATTATTACCGTATTTTACCAGGCGGTCATAAGTGCTTTGGGGGCAGGAAGTCCAATCGATTCGATACGGTTAGCAAGCATGATTCGATTACGTAAGGGCAGAGGGTAGCAAAGGCGATATAAAAAGAATAAATACGGATTTATTATCCCCTAAAGAGCTCGCTTAGTGCGAGGTGTGAACCCGTGATGTATTATTTATCTCGACAGCTATGCCCGCGGCCGGGGAATTTGATTTGGACGTGCACAAACAAACGTGCTGCGGTCGCAAAGGGTTACGTCGAACTTGACACAATATTATTTCGATAGAGTACAAATAAGAATACTTTGAATAATCACAAGTTAGCAACTTTAACGCTTACTTATATACCTTATCATTTTATTGAAATATTAGTAATGGGGATGTTCTTCGTTTCAATTCTTTTAAAAAATTTAATAGACTTTTATTTTTAAATTTCACATTTATTTTTAACAATATAATAATATCATTTTAAAATAATTTCAATGATTCCTTAGTTCCATTTTGTGATTCCTAATTAAAAATTTGCAACAAAAAAATATATTTGTTTTAGATAGGAAATGAAGAGCTGGCTGGAGAGTGGCATTAGTATGGACGACGGCGCGCTATCGTGCATGCTCGCAGAACCGCGCGAAGCACTGCTGCCTATCACGGGCAGGGAGAACTTGGCACCCAGGAAACGGTACGTACTCATAATTGATATTGGGTCCAACTAACTATATCTCGGGAAAGTCTTTGGAACGAATAGGACACATCACACATCAAAATCGAGCCGCCACCTGAAATCGCTGAATTGGCGAAGTGACCGTTGCCCATAGACATACGCAATTGCATATGCGTTGCCTATCTTTAATCGACGGAGGAGAGGATGCACAGAAAAAATATTTTCCCTTTCCATGCATCCTCTCATTCGGAAAGTTCACTTTCACTTCCCATTTTTCCTTATAAGAAAAGGGTGGGAAGGGAAAGAGGACAAAATTAGGCCTCCGGGACGCACACTCATAAGACGAAACGCGGAATTGCTTCCACTTCACGCCTGTCTAAAAGATAGATAGAAAGTCAGATAAGCCATTTAAGCTACAATTCACAATAGAACGGACATTTAGGTGGATTGATCGATACATGGATGGCTGTTAGAAGGTATATCTAGAGCGGTTCAAAGGACTTCGCTGAAATTTGGCATAGATTTAGAACATAGTCTAGAAGAACATATAGACCATGAATTGTTTTATTGCAACTGTGCGCGGACGGAATCGTAGGCGATATAAACCCGTATGAGTTATAATAATTCTGATTGTCGGGCAATAATGTAATAAGGTGTTGGCACAATATATATATTTTTCATTTATTTTATGTTTAGGGAAAGAACACTAGAACCATGCGCGTTGTCCGAAGAGGCATACCTCTCAAGTGGGACAGGGTCTCCCTGCGCCGGACTCTCCCGGGAAGAGCGTAGACGACGACGTAGAGCTACACTGAAGTACAGGACAGCGCATGCCACCAGAGAAAGAATACGTGTGGAAGCATTTAATGCCGCATTTGCGTCACTCAGGCGACTCCTACCAACATTACCTCCGGATAAGAAACTATCGAAAATTGAAATTTTAAGGCTCGCAATATGTTATATAGCTTATCTTAACCATGTATTAGATGCGTGATAGAAGAAGATTAGTTAAGAATGAATTGCAATTCATTACGTAGAATTTATTTCATATTATTATTAGTCAAATGAATATGCAAATATGTATACAAATTTTGAATTTTTCTACTGTTACGAATGTCTTGTATTTAGGAACTAGTCATTATTCTTTTTAAGGTCTTGTAACTTTCACATTCTTAAGATGTGTAGCTGATATCAAGAAACGTTTTATCAATTCCTGTATAGATAAGATAACTATTCAAATTAATTATAGTGTCAAATTTTATATTAAATTTAGTAAGAAAAAAAAATTTAAAAATTTAATTGTATAATCGTGGATGGAGCCAAAGATTGCTACTACTTTTATTTTACTATAATTAAGGTTATGTTATGTTCGTGTTGTGATTTTAATCGATGTCTTCCTTGTTTTGTAAATAAAAATATCCAATAACTCTTAAACATCTTTATATTTACAAAAAAAACATATCACATAGGTACAGTTACTGGATTATAACAATTACAGAAATATAAATAGAAATATTTTCGTACAAATAACAAAAATTACAATGAAAATATTATTTATGTACTTTCACAACATGCAAGGTATTTAGTAACTTAAATCTAGAGTCAATTTAATGCTGACAATATTTATTTCTTAATAATATCATTAAAATAACTCAAGAACACTGGATAGAATACCATACCATGCAAAAATCCAAGAATCACCAAACTGAAAAGCATTCTAAAGAAGAACATTTCAATCAATTCAGTGTAAGAGAATGCTAAAACTATTATCGGAATATTCGTTAATGTTATTCCCGTAATTATAGTTGCGCCTACTTTACAAATTGCATCTGCAACTCTTTCATTCGGAGGACATTTGCTGGTTGCAAAAGCGTATGCCAAATGACTACAGAATTCAACAGCAATACCTATAGATACGATCAAATTCACACACGATACAGCATTCAATGGAATATTCCAGATATACATAACACCCATCATATCTATAACAACCATAATACTAGTAAACATAACAGTAAAGGTCGTTAAGACATTAAATCCGGTAGCTAATAAATTAATAATCAATGCTCCTATTAAACAAAAACCTAACGAAGAGAATGTATCACCCCACATTGTCAAATACTGTTCATAAAATACATAAAATACTGAATATGGAAACACTTCAACATCTTTACCCGTATGTTTCTTGATTGCCGAAGTTATATTACCGGCAACTTCGTACCCGTATTTAACAGCATTTATATACTCGTAAGATGTTCCCAGCGCTACGTGATATGCCATGAAGCCGGTATCGTGAACAGTAGCACGCCCTTCTGAATCTAACACGTAATTAACAAAACTCGAGTAACTAGCCAGACCTCCTTTGTTACATTGATCGTTCGGAGTGTCTTGGAGGAAGAACGGTATGAAATTTTCGAAAGTTTTTGCATCTGGTCGTAAGCCGTTGCCGAATTCATCTCTGCCAAGAGAACAAAATTGACATTCGGGGGAAGGATCTGTACTAGAACAGAATCCACCGCTTGTAGTATTGTACTTGCAACAAGACCCAGTTAAACCTGACCAATCGAAAAAGTCATCTAACCAAGAATTAGAACTTTTTGCTATAAACGTAACGTTACTGTGGCGAGCAGCTAAGAATATTTGGGTTGTGAGAGAGTCTGGGTAACATAATTGACCTCCACAAATGACATTTTGATCGTTTGTGTCTGTAAAGTTTAACCCACCTTTCAAAACGAAATAGAGCGGTGGTCCAAGACGTAACACATCGTTTACTGATTGCAAATATCTGTACATATAAGAATCTGTAGGTAAAACTAAATTTTGATCTAATCCTATTTCAAGTTGCGGTATTAATATTATACTAATCGAAAATATTGCCATAAATATAATTGCTACTACAATTTTTACTTTCCAATTTAAAATAAATTCAGAGTAGGGTTTCATTAATCTCGCGATGATACTCTGATACGGCGTATCTGCGTTCAGAGGATCATTATCTAGAAGGACTTTCTTCTGAACACAGCAAAATACATCTAATCTGTTTTGACTGGCCCTGTCATAGTCAATTGATAATATCGCAACAACGGTGGTGATTTGGAAAATAAATAAGAAACCTAGAGACAAGGAAGCAAACACCGCAAACGTGACCACTGCAGGGAAATTAGCGAGACTTCCTATCGCAAAGCAAGTGATTTGTGTCACTGAAGTAACAAACATAGATGGCCCAACTATCTTCATCATTTTTGTGAACACGAACGTTCTCTTTTTTGTAGGACTAAAGTTTTCATTGTAATCATCATACTCTTTCAAGTTAGTTTCTATATCGTGTAAGGTATTAACCATTAGAAAAACATTATCTACTCCCACGGATAAGACAAAAAATGGTATGACGTTAATCGCTAACAACGTCACTGTAATTTGAGCGTAACCCATTACACCCATTGCACAAAAAATGGAACCTAAAACAACTATTATACAACTTATACCTACTGTTACTTTGCTATCGACCAACCAAGTTCTACAATATCGTATGTTTCCTAAAGCTAGTATAACGTATATAAACATAAGTAAATAACTCAGAGCAATTGGTAAAATTTCTGCTCGTGAAACTCGCTCAATTTCATCGGCAATAGACCTCTCAGCACCATAACTGACTTCGACGAAATCAGGTTTCCAATTTGCTTCATAATCGTGTAATAAATCAAGAAACTGCTGCTCCCATTCGAGCACAGGCCGCAACTCTTCTTCCAAAAGGAAGTTACTAATAGGAAAGTTTATAAGTAGCGTAGTGGCGCTTAACATATTGTCTCCCGTCACACCTCCGAAAGAAATATCCGGGTCGGCACCGGCGCCCCATTCGGCCATACAGTTAAGGGCCAAGTAATTATTCAAACAATTCTGAATAGTATCCAAGTATGTTTCATTATTTATATTGTTGCGGTCTCTGCCAAAATAAACCGATGCTGACATGAAAGTACATTGCTCCAATCTCTTTTCACCGCCACGAGGTCGAAGAGGTGCGTAGCAAACTTCTTCCAAAACGACGCCCCCGGTGTCTCTACCAATGTTAAATATGGCGTCTTCTAGTTTGACTAATTCTTGCAAGGCCTCTAATCTGAAAGCCGGGCCATATGTCACATTATCTACTTGAAAGGGCTCCAAACCAGTAAACTGAAGATAAACTTGAGCAGCGCGATAGAATGGCCCGAACCGTGAATTGAAATAATTTAACTCTGTCCGGCTCCTCGAATCCGGTGCAGACCAAAGTTCGAGAGGATTTGAGCTTACATTGAGATTCAAAACACCAAAGAGCATAGCGAAAGCTATCCAAGTGGTGACCATGATAGCAAGTACAGGGTTTTTTGACGAAAAAGCACCTATTGCAGCAAATGTTTCTTGGAAAAATCTAATAAAGACATTGTCTTCGGGAACAGATTTGGAATCATTATTCTCAATTCTTACGTTTCTCAACCTTTTGTATTCCAATATTGAAAGTATACAGAATATTGTAACACCGATGACAAAAACAACTATTCCTATTGAGAAACTAATACAGTTTACTGAAAGAACTGTGCAAATACTTGGCGGAAGCGGCTCAGTTCCAACAGGGCAATTCGCGAAGCAGTCGACGCAACTGCACGGAAGATCTTCTCCAATGGTTTCTTCACACGGGGGAGCGCGGGCGTTCATCGAATCCTCTTCTGTCGGCCATCTCAAAAAGTTGACTTGAACAGGAGCCAAAGGATTTGTCGTAGTATCTCCAGTAAATCCGAACCAAGCGTCTGCGTCGCAAACGGGAGCATTGCCGCACATGAGATTAATGGCCGGCATTCCGGTTTGAGGGACGACCACACTGGCACATGAAGAATGAGCGTCCAACATAAAATTTTCGAAAACTCTGTAATCGATCTCATTGACGTACGGAGTACCATCCGTCGCGTTTAGCACTGTTACTTCTACGAACCGCGCCTGATCTGGGGAACAATTCATTTCACAGATTTGTCTAACGAAATTTCGTAGGCACGTCGGACATCTGCCGAGAATACCTTCGGCTAACATCAAGCTCTCCTGCATTTTCCTCAACTGGATGTCGTCGCAGCATGTCACGATATCTTCGAGCGGCTTAATACTACCGTATTCATCGTATACTAAAAACGGACATCGCGATTCCAGAATTTCCATGATCTCGATTCTGTCAGATTGTGTTAAATTTATAAGAAGGGCTGGAGGATCGTACGGGAAGGGACACGGCTTTGCGAACCCATTGATCTCCACACACTCGCCGCGCATTACACATCTCGCTCTAACACTGTACAGACAGTTTAGAATAACTACTGTAATTATAATTAACTTCATTGTTTATAGTTATTAAATATAATATTTGTCACAAAACTTTCATTTTGTTGTGGACCACTGATTCAATTGACCACTTATGATACTAATGTGACTAATGTTTCGATATTAAATTCGGCCAGTGTTAATCTGGTATATAGTTAATTTGATACGTTATCATCATTTAACGCAGGTGGCCGATAAAAATATATAGTAGAAAGATTACAGTGCTATTTTGTTTGAATCATCGAAATTTGCTTTAATGTAATAACAGTACTAAAATGTCGAGGCGGGGGACGCAGGTGTCGCTAGGAGCCTCCCTTGGGATCGCGGCCATTTTCCTCTGCGTACATCTATCGCCGATATATCTGCACATTCCCATACATTTAACATGAGCTAATAACGTGCGAAACAACTTCGTATATCTTCGTCAGAAGCGAGACAAACTTACTAACCATACAAAAAAATAAAATAAATTTATATTGTATAGAGAATGGGGAGATATAATCAGTAACGTTGTTTAATTTTAATTCTAACCGAATGTACAAAAAACTGTAGTAATTCGAGGGCGGTAATAGTAATGTAAGTGAATTTCCCGCGCCTCTAACTTATAAATGTGCACGTGTCGAGAACGTGGGGCTGTAATTAGATATAATAGTGTGG